AAGTTGATAACATGGAGAAAGACATGGTGAAAATGGTGAACGATATGTGCGAATGAAATAAATGGTAGAATGCATAGATCCAATAGTTCGTTCTTTGGGTGTTTTAGAGAAGATGAAGTAATAGAAAGAAAGGAAATTTACATGATTGATTTCGCAACTCTTTTTGTTCATTTGTAAAACATTAAATTATTTTAATTGTTGTGAAATCTTTCGTTTTTATCACCTAAGTTACATTTTGCAATCATATTCTTCAATTTTTGAACAATTTCAATAGCTGCGCAGTCGGCTAAAGAAGCGGTAGAAAATCGACTATCTGCTCTAATGGCGAATTTTATTAGATTTATTTTTGTATTTTTCCTTTTTACAGGATATAGGTAATTTTATTTACTCGTTATTTTTTGTAAGTTACCTCATATATTTCGAAGTTGCTTTTTTGTTCTTCGTTCTTGATTACTTCCTTCAACTAGGACCTTTTTACCACATTGATCTTTTAAAAATCTCTTCCTATTGGGTGTTGCCTTTGATTTAAGCCTTGTAAAAACTGGATGTTGAAATTACTTCACTTATTATAATAACATTGCCCATTATAGCAGTATTTCTTGCTGAAAGCGTTTATTGTTGTGTGTCAATACCACATGTGCATCGTGAATACACTTTCACTTCGTTAATTTGCGGTTTCGTTTCTAGTAACCAAAACTTGCGCTTTGCACATTTAATACTAATTCTACACTGAGCTATCGCATTCACTCGGTGCCACTGTTTTCGAAGTAAGTGTGCGATTTCAACAACTTTTTTTATCAAGTTATAAATATATTCTAATATTTAGGAAATGGCACTACTTTGAATAAAGCGACTTTTCGGTCATGGCCACGCTTTAATATGTTATGTATTATGACTTTATCATATTTACTCCATAATTTGATTTCTTTTTACAGTGTTTTATCAGTTAATTACTTTAGTTTGTCTGTAAGAATTGAGTGCCTAAGTTCTTATGTATTTCACTGACTATTGGCCTTAGTTTAAATTTTGAAAAATTTAATTATTCTTCCAATCTAAAAGAAGAATTTGGTTTTTAAAGTTGTAAGCAAAAGTAATACTCAAACCGACAGCATAAGAACCTGAACCTTGAATTAGTAAAGAAGCCTAAATAAAAAGCTGAAAAAAAACTAAAACAAAAATTTACTTTTTCCAATGTTTATACCGAGAGCAACACTTAATGCAACTGCACAAGAACCTCTAATTTACTGAAAACAATTGAATTTGTTAAAATTTTAAAGCAATCTGGACCTCCAATTATTGAAGGCAAACTGAAGAAGGAAGCTGAAAAAAAAAACTGATAAAAATTGAGATTTTCTCAGTTTAAACCAAAGTCAACACCGGATAGACACAGAAATTTGTAGAGTTAACAGAGAAAATAGTTCCTTTAATTGTGAAACCCTAAAAATTAGAAATACAGCTCATTGTAAAGAGAGAATACACTAAAATATTCTGTAAGAAAATTAGTTCGCCTAGTAAATCCTGAAGATGTACAAGATGTATACCTACAAATGCTGAAACATTTTTTATAACAACGAAGATATACACATAGCTTTGGGAAATGGTAGCCTAGTTGATGGCGTTCGTTTTATTAACAGGGATACCGAATATTGTATAAGACGTAGTACGCACGAAGACACTGTTAGGAAGTCGAATGGAGCTGCAATACAATACAATTGACAACAAACGGAAGTTATGAAAATAGTTCTAGGCAAAACACAAATTGAAAAAGCATACTGTGTGGTACGAGGTCGATTTAACGGAGCTACAACAATATTCACCTAAATAGGTAATGATAATGCAACAGGAAGTAGGAATATGGCCTGTAATAGACAATGCTACCATAATAAACGATGATAAAAGACAATAAAGGAAATAATGATATAAAAAAGGTATAAAGAAGTAAATAAAGATTAAGAATTGAGTTTCCAACATTGATCTTTATCCTACCTTGTACCAAAAATGTTTTAGTAATTGTGATCCCCTGGACCTGTTTGTAAAACACGTCATGTAGTCACAGAGTAAACATTTTGAAGTTTCTTTGGTCTTCAAACAAATGGGATGTCTCACTGCCTGCTGTTTATCGTTTTATCAGATACTAATTCACATTACGTTATATCAGAAAAACGATCAGCTGTATTCTATGCAGGTTGACTGTGACATCATGTGCTTTTTTGCCTGTGACTTCTTAAGTATTAGATATATTTACCCTAAATGATTTAGAATGTATTTTTGGCATGAAAGATGAAGTTACTATTTTCAATAAATTTATTAGTTCCTAATTAACTCTTAACCCATCGACTCTAACAATTTTTTTTATCATATATGGCTTTCATTTAGACTCCAGTTGAATTCTTTCCGGAAACTTAAAACAGCCGTCTTGAGTACCAGATTTGATTTGATTTTTTTATTTTTTCTTTATTTTGTGAAATTATTCAGTAAATAATTAAAAATATACATTGTAATATTACATTGTGTGCTGCATTTAATCATTTACTGAAAAAAAAATTATAGGTTATTGATCCCTGTACCTTACCTATACTATAAACATCATTCAAACTTCAAAACCATTTGAAGATCACATCGAAATACTTTGTTATATAATAGTTTGTTATATATAGATTATATATATTCGTTCTAAAACGCCCAAAGAATTATTTATAAACGACCCTCAACGGTGCGGAATAAAGCATTTACTTTTTGTCTCCGATTATTGTATATTGAATTCGTTTCATAGAGCAATATTTTATATACGTTTTGCAAGTTTTAGAAAAGAAAAATTATTTTTTTTTATTTTGAACATTATTCGCGCAAATGCAAAGAACGTCAAAATAGACGAAGTTACCATGTCGTAACTGTGTCATTGTTTATGGTAGATTAACAAACCTAAATTATTCTTAATTTTAAATTGTTTATAAATAAATGTGATGACTTAAAATAAAGATACTGTTTTATGATAAGTGTTTGTTTTTGTTTATTTCATGAAACAACTTCGTTATACTTGTTTATCTCCAAAGCCATATACAACATCGGAAGTCAAATAAGTGAACATGATTGTTCTAACAGTATTGAGAGATTTTTAAAACAGCGGAAAGTATAAGTTTAAAGGATGGACATGAAAATATGGATATGTTATTAAAAGAACGAAGTAGGAATAAAAATATGGATTGACAAAATAAGCCGTGGGCATATTTTGACCACCGAACATTATTGGATGCCATCTGAAACTGTCCCCAGATTAATAATGCGTACAATGCCGTCGGAAGAGGAATATCGTCGAATGAGTAATGAATTTTTCGACCTACTCAACTATGAAAACTGTGTCAAAGATAATACTGTTGGCCATTTTTCATATAGCTCTGGATCTCATAACAACGAACTACTTGGTACCGAAGTGGAAAATGATGCATCACGCTACAGGCCAAAAAATAACACGTAGAACCTTCTTCCAATATTGGAAGTGAGAGACGCAATCACACGCCTCAAAAATAACAAGTCTCCAGGTGTGGACTGTATCTCTGCCGAGATCATCAACATGGATGTAACACATCAAATTCACAGTATAATAGTCACAGCCTTTAATTATATATCCACTAGAAAAAAGGGAGATTTGTAGGAATGTAAAAATTATAGGGGTATAACTCTTCTGAACACTTCTTCTTTCTCTTTATAAGCAATTCTACTTGTTCATTGGCGGATTAATACCTCTATGGAAGCTTGTCACTCCATCTTTTGCGCAGTCGTCCGATACTTCTTCTGCCGATTGGGGACTTAATCTCTTGCTATTTTGACGACACGGGACTTCGGTTATTCCTTTCTATTTTGTGTCCATTCATTTATACACGGTACGTTACATTTTCTTCCAATGTCTTCACTTCTCTTTCGATCTCTCAGCGTATTTCCTGTAATTCTTCTCAGTACTGTCATCTCTACCGTTTCCAGTAACTTTTGCGTTGTTGTTGTCTCGGGTCTTGTTTCTGAGGCATATGTCATTATTGGTCTTACACTGGCTTTATAAATTCTTGATTTCATCTCGGTGTTAATGTCTTCCTCGCCATACAGTGTTATTAAGGTATCCTGCCAGTCTATTTGCTTTTGTACTTGATCTCTCACTTCTTTGTCCAGGTCTCCATAGCTAGACAGTGTAATTCGCAGGTATTTTATTTCTATCATCTCATTGGCCGTCTGTAAGATCTCTTGTACTCATTGCTTTAGTTACCCCTTCTTTCCATGTCTTTTTGGGTCTTCCTCGTTTTTTGCGGTTTGGTGGTACCCACTGCATAATCTTCTTGGGTAGTCTTGTGTCTTCCATTCTTTGAACATGACCATACCAAATCAACTGTTTCCTCTCAATGTCTGTTGTTAAGTGACCATCTATTCCAATTCTTCGTCTTACTTCCTCATTTCGAACTCTTTCCCTGCGGGATATACCTAACGATCTTCTAAACACATCCATTTCTACAGCTTCTAATTTTTTTCTGTTGTTCTCGATTATTCTCCAAGTTTCTGCTCCGTAAAGTAGACTGCTTTTAATTAGTGACTCATAGATGTTATATTTTCGCTTTATTCCTATTTCAGAGCTCCAAAGTATTCCATTTAGGCAGCCAATTGTTCTTCTAGCTTGTGTAACCTTATGTAATTTGTGTAATTTTATTTCTATTACTTGTTTAATACTGATGCCATCAATTTCTATTTTACATCTGGTTAGTTCTTTACTGACTACTATTGTTTTGGTTTTCTGAGATGAGATTGTCATATTAAATTCCTTTGCTCCTATGTGAAATCTGTGGACCAGTCTTTGCAGAGTATCTTCATCTTGGGCTATCAATATTGCGTCTTCTGCTTAACAGAGTATTTTGATTTCTTTGTTTCCCATTCTGTATCCTCTTCCTTTATTAACTTTTTTTATGGAGTTACAGCATGGAGCTCGATGAATCCCCTTGTCTTATTCCTCTGCCTATTTCTATAGATTCTGTAAGTTGCCCATCTATTCTGACTTTCATTTTGTCGTTTTGGTAGATGTTTTCGATATTTTTTATAATATTTAGGTGAGTTTCTCAATTATACAGAATATGGATTACATCTTTGAGTCTTACTCTGTACGCTTTCTTTAGGTCAATTAGACACAGAAATGCTGGTCTATTATACTTTAGTGATTTCTCAGTAATTCGCTTTATAACGAATATTGCATCTGTACACAATCTTCCAGTACGAAAACCCTATTGTTTATCTGCTAAACTTATCCTCTGAGTTATTAGCACTTGTAAAATTTTAGTTGTAAGTTTTAGCGTATTTAACAAGTTTATACCTCTGTAGTTTTCTGGCTCTTTTTATTTCCTTTTTTGAATAGTAGAATTGGTTCGCTCGTTATCCATTCTTCCGGTATTTTATTGTGTTTTATAATATACTCAACACAATATACAAAATATTCTCCAAGGTCCAATACAGCCGCGAAAGTACGTACCTACGTAAAAGAACTCCTTGGTGAATGTCAAAGCGATTTTAAGCCAGGTAGGTCAACAATTGACCAGATTTTTGTGCTGCGTCAAATCTTAGAAAAAAACAAAGAATTTAACATTGATACGTTTCATCTCTTTGTGGACTTCAGGGAACTAAGATGTAAATTCTATGAATCCATTAACGAACTTAACATTCCCCATAAATTAATAACAGTTGTAAAAACAACTATGAGTAAAGTGATCTGCAGAGTGCAAATACAAGGTCATTTGTCACAAGCGTTTGAAACATATGCGGAGTTACGGCAGGGAGATGCGCTGGCGTGTAACAGTGCTGGTGGTTGGTAAATCCGGTGGTGCTGGGTATAGTACCAGCTTTCGGGAGGCAAGGTATGGAGCCCGTAATTCTTCACACAGCTGAAGAATAAACTTACGACGACGGATTTTACTTCCAATAACTTCTTTATAAATAATCCATGCATTTATTGCTCCTAAGTCAAGAATGTTATAAAACACGTGCATTGGCCATCGTCTTGAAGCATCTTTTGTAGTATAAAGACGCTCCATTTGGTCCACTACATCAACCCCGTATTTTGTTTTATTATAAAAACTTACTGTTTAAGGAAGTTTTTTTCCATCGACAGCAAAATCCTCTGATTGATGTAATGAGCTCAACAAAAGCACATTTTTGTGACTCTTTCCTTGGTATGCAGTAAGTGTTATCTTTTCATCGCTCTGGAATATATGGGTAACATATAATTCTCCATTTTTACTCTTTACGCTTAGAGGAACTTCCTTTCTGTTGCGATTCAAAGTACCCACAAGACTTGTTGATTTTTTTTGCAATGCCTTGACCAATTTTAACGATGTAAAGTAGTTATCTGTCGTAACATTTTTGCCCTTTCCCAGTTGATTTTCCATTACCCGCTAAACAACATGTTGACCAACACTTGTATCTTTCTTGCGTAGATGATCAGTGCCAGTATAAGGGTAACCATTTACAATATATTTTGATTCCACGCATGTCAAAAGCCAAAATTTTATGCCAAACTTATCCGGCTTATTTGATATGTACTGTGTGAACGGGCACCTGGCTTTAGAAGGCAGTAGTTGTTCGTCCACAGTAAGGTTTATTCCCGGTTTGTAACATGCACCACTATTTTCTATAAATTCATTCCAAACCGCAGAGGCTAGAGCAAATTTGTCGGTTTTCAATCGTTCAGATCTCGTTTGCTTTATGTCAAATCTGAGATATTTTATAATCAAGGGCAGTATCCAGTTCTTCCAAAGTTATAGTCCATGTGTCATTTTTTAAACATCGATGTGCTTCTGCAATAGTGCATTCTTTTATATGACGTAACATGCTGTCGTTGATTATTAGATGCCAATCACTTACCACACAATTGTTCCTCACGTTCCTTTTCGCATACGACGTAGGACCTGATTCCTCTCGATAAATGTTGCTGAGCGCGGCGTCCTGTAATGAGCAAACATTCAATGAATATGAAGATACTAAAAATCATAATCTTACCAGATACTGATCCAGAATAAATAACTTTCCACGTTGTTCCGTCTTTCGATTGTTCGGTGTCTCCGATTGAAATAGTTTTTCCTTGTTGACCTCTTTTTCTCTTGTGACTTGGCTTAGATGCACTTGGATTCACGATAAAATTAGCTGACTCGTGCTGTTGAGTTGTAGAAGCAGTGTTTACATAAATTGGTGAGTCTTGTACAATAAAACTTTCTAACTACTCTGAAGCATCAGAGTCACTTGAATCATTATTTTGTGGTGGTACGTATTGTTCATCGTCTGACTCATTATTTTCTGCAAATTCAGATTCACCTCCCGAAACATCTTCTTGTATTTTTCGTATTTCTTCAAGAAGTTCAAGCTCTGATAGTCCACGACGAGATATCTTTACAGTCGTCTTGAATTTTCACAATTGAACGAATGTTTCAATATTCTAGAAACGAGAGTTAGCAGAACCTAATAAACCGCTCAATAAACAAAATACTTTCAAGGAACAAACAGTAAGTAACAAAATACCTTCTAGGAATAAACGTACATAAACATAATTTTATCTATCCGACAGAAAGTTAAAAGAAATCGTCAAATTTCCGAGAAAACGATAATAATTAATACAGGGCCAGTTTGGCCCCTTTAGACTTCTATGGTAGGTTTGTTAGAAAATCCATTTAATAAATTTAGTAAACAATATTTTTTGCGTTAAATAAAACTTTGTATCAAAATATTAAAAGTCATAAAATATGAAATTATTATTGTCAAATAAAATAACTACAATAACTTCAAATCGCAACAGGGGCCAAAGTGGCCCCTCCGACTTTCTAGTGTTAATATAGTATAGAAAAGACCATAAGAGATGCCGAGTTACGCAACAGGGAAACAATCTTTCATAAGTCAATGCAGATTATGGCTTGCGCTGACGATTTGTTTCCAACTACTTGACGGGCGCACAAAATATTGGTCTTAAAGTAAACGAGGAAAAAACAGAGCCAAATAACAGAGATAGAGCTAGAAACGCCGAACAAAACTTAGCATAGACCATTATAATTTTGATTTAGTGAATAAGTTTACCTATCTGGGTTCTCTCAGAACAATCGATAATGACACATCTGAAGAAGTAAAATGAAGGGTACTGATAGCGAATAAATGTTATTGTGGACTAAATAAGCAGCTAAAAATACAAAAATTTATCAAAAAACCAAACTAACAATATATAAAACACATCCTACCAGTGCTAACATATGGATCAGAAACATGGACCATCACCAAAACATGCAAATATTCTGCTCGTTTTCGAAAGAAAGATACTACGCAAAATAATGGACACAATCTGTGAGAATGGTATTTAGAGAAGATATATAATCTCGTATTGTACGAGAAGTATAAAGACATAGTTAATGGTACACATGTAATATCTTTAATAAAAAATAGGTAGACTTAGATGGGCTGGATATGTGTCAAGATCAAATGAAAATTAAACACCCTGTGGAATCCTATTAGCGGCACCATTAGGAAATAGGAGCAGGGGTAGACCAAGACAGAGATGAAGGGATAGTGTGAACGAGGACACGAGAAAGATCGGCGCAGCAAACTGGCGAAATAGACTGAGGAAAGTAGAGGCTCAACTAGGGCTTTAGCACCTGATGGTAATGGTTTTTTCTATAAGAATTTTGTGGGGTGTGAAAGACGTGAGGAGCACCGAAATTTCGATTTGGCGTAAGATGTAATAACGTAGTCTTGGACGATAGCCGGGGAGTAATTATATTTCGACAACCTCCACGGTAGGAAAATGCTATTTTGGTGAAAATTGTAACTGTGCCGGTGTCATCTTGACTAGCACAATCGTAGGAGTTTTGATTAGATGGCACATAATGCCGAAAATAGGTTGTTATCAGTTCTTATATGTATCTAATACAATTGACAATTTATGTGTAGAAAAATTAACTCGAGTAAGTGCAATCGTCGAATTCGAACAAACATGAAGATTGACAAAAGATCTCTTTGACAAAAATGGCTAGATCAGGCAGCAGTACGATTGCAAAGGTCTCTAATCTTGTCGAAACAGACAAAACTTGAAGATCGGAAGAGACCATTTGAAAAAAGTGACTAGATCCGTCAGCAATACGGCAGCCAAGAGCTTCAGTCTTGTCGGATCAGACCAAACATAAAGATTGGACGAGACTCTTTGACAAAGTGACTAGATCAGTCAGCAATACGACTGCAAAGAGCTAAAAACTTGTCAAATCAGACCAAACATGATCTAGATCATGCAAGAGATACGACTGCCAAGAGCTCCAATCTTGTCAAATCAGATTAAACATACAAATTGAACGAGACTAACAAAAGTGACTATACCACTCCAATTAGGCCAAACATAAACATTGAACGAGAATCTTTAACAAAAGAAATTAGATCAGCCAGTAGTAAGACTACTAAGCGCTCCAATTTTGTCGAATCAGACCAAACATGAACACAATGATGTAGCTCTTTGACAAAGGTGACTAGATCAGCAAGAAATACGACTGCCAAGAGCTCCAATCTTATCCAATCAGATCAAACAGAAGATTGAACGGGACTCTTTGACAAAAGTGACTAGGCCACTCAGAAATATGGCTGCCAAGAGCTCCAACCTTGTCGAAGGCCAAACAAAAAGATTGGACGAGACTCTTTAACAAAAGTGACTAGATCAATCCGCAGTATGACCATGCTCAGAAACTTATATACATGACTTTGGAACATTCCCCTATCACTTTGACCCCAGCGAGTTAATAAAGAGAAATGACAGCCTATCTATCTTTAACCAATCATTTATTTTAACACAATCTCGGGGTGTCACAAATAAACTAATCAAACGAAGCGAAATTAACATTGTGAAACTAATTCCGCAATGTTAATTCTGTCAAAAGTAATGACAGATCTTCCGTTCATTTACAAACTTTCAATTTTATTTTATTATCTTTAACTTTCGTTTGCATTTATTCTTAGTAATTTTAATGTAAGTTGGTTACTTAGTTTTTAAAGTTTAGTTTTAGTTACCTATTGTAGCAAAGAATTTTTGTGTTAGAAAAATAAACTAAACATGGTGAATTATTGTATTCTTCCGTTGTGTACAAGTCATGGAAAAATTACAAAAAGGATCATGATAGTAAGTTGTCGGGAAGCAAACAATAATAGTATTTAACATTTTCTTCTCAAAATATCAGGGTAATAAATATTATGTAATTAGTTTATAACTGTTTTATCTTAAACAACAAATAAATATACGTATATCTAGAAAAAATTGTGCATTTTTTATACATCCTTTTATTTTTTAATAATATATGTGAGATTATTCCAGCGAAAAATAATATATTTTCCTGTAAATTTTAATTAGTATTGAAATAGCCCGCAAGAGGCGCTAAAGGGTATGTATGTAAGGGGTGTAATTTGAATTTCCCGCCAAAATATGATTAGTAATGACCCCAGCGGCAAGAGGTCCTAATGAACGAAATTTATACATTGAGTTGCCTATCTATTTCTATATACTATATTGTTTATCTATGAGTATGACTGCCAAGAGCTCAAATCTTGTCGAATCAGACCAAACATGAAGATTGGATGAGTCTCTTTGACCTCAATTCTTCTTGAAACAACTTATTGAAAAAAAAGTCGAGCACAAATCAAGAATCCCTTGTTTGTTGACTTATGATATGAGGGCTTATTATACAGTGCCTATAAATTAGGATTGGACATAAAGGAAGTATTGATAGGCAATAATAAATAAATTTTAAAAAAGAAATTAGTTTTATTATTAACAGCTTAATAAATACAGTGAAAGACATGTGACAACTACATGCTGTTTCATAACATTTTCAAACATTTAATATCACAGTTACCTCAAAACTTAAAAACTAAGGCATTCAGAATAATCCTTTAGATTTTCTTTTAAAAATGCATTTCAGATGGTTAAAATCTCTTCATTTCTAGTTAAATACCTTTGTTTAATGGAAATAAAAGAATAATATTAAAATCAATCCTTTCGCTGATTATTGTTTGGCGTTTGTACAAGATCTGTTAATACCATCGATATAATATACTAAGGAACCTATGAATAAATACTTGCGTCTAAACTAGCTAATATCAATGGCCGATCTTATTTCCGGAATGTCAGTGGTGTATGAAAAAAATTTTTTTTTTGGTATATATATATATATATATATATATATATATATATATATATATATATATATATATATTTACATTCGTTGTTATTTACATTTGAATCAAAGATACAATGACGTGTAACATTGCAAAATTAAAAAATATTATTTTATAATATAAACCATATTATATATTTTACAGGTACGTAGTTGCGCAGCACACGCCACTGATGTGACTGAATGCAAAATATTAAAAATTTAACGAATTTATTAATCTAACAAAACGAATACATTAAATTATTGACTTGTTATCTGTTTGTTGAAAATGTTGACTGTTTAACATTAAAATATCGAGAAATAATGAATCACCTGTCAAATTCACGTCGGACATTGTAGATAGTAATGTAACCTCTTTATACTGTGGTAATGTGACGTCAGTTCCGTTGTCTACCAGCTACATGTAAAAATTTCAACACGTTCTATCCTTAGTATATTATATCGATGGTTAATACTATTAATCGGTTTGATTGGATACAGTTAAGTGTATTTTTCGCAAACATTGAACCAGGCGACTCCACAAACGCCAAACGGTTAAGTTAAGCGAATTAAAAAATTAAATTCGTGCAAGCTATCTTCTATTAAAAAAGAATGCGGTTGTAGTTCAACTCAAAATTATTGTCTCGAGAAGATTTTGGGCGTTTGGACATGTGTTTGAACTATCTTCTTGTCCACAGTTAGGGCATCGTGGGGCTCTCGCTTGACGAGAAGCGGCGAGATGACCACTTGAGCAGCAGTTGCTACAATATTTTGGCATAATTGGGGCTACCGTAGCTGATAATGGCATTTTACACGTTGATGCGGATTTTGTCCCTAAGTGCCTCAGCGTAGTGGGCTTGAGAGTCGGTAAAACTCTCTTAAGGGTAGTAGGAGTGTTCGTTCTTCTTGAAATTATTCTCGCTACTTTAGTGAAAGGGAACTCCGAGATTGAGAGTTGTTCTTCAATCTCTTTTGTGAGCTTGTTGTCCACCCCTTGTATCACTAAATAGAAATTAGTTTTGGGTGGAGGGCTGAGTGTATTTTTTCGTGCTTTTAATACGCCTTGCAGAGGAAGTAACCGTAAGGTCTCTGCCTGTGACGTTTCTGATTTTATTCCGATGTTTAGGCTGTTAATCGCAGCGTTACTATTTAGGAAGACAATTTTTGTCTGGTCTCTCTAATGGCATCTCACAGGTTAGACGTTCACCGTTGATACGGATCTTATCTCTGAGAGCCTCAGCGTAGTGAGTTTGAGAGTCAGTGAAGAATCTGACCAGGGCAGTAGGCGAGTTATTTGCTTTCAAGATGATTCTCGCTACTTTAGTGAAGGGAAAACTAGAGATTGTTAACTGTTCCTCAATATCTTGGTTTGATAATTTTTTGTCCACTCCTCGTATGACTAAGTGGAAATTAGCCTGAGTGGACGGTTGGATGTTTTTTCCACTATTTCTGTTGCGTCTAGCAGAGGACGAAACCTAGAGGTCTCTGCCAGTGACGCTTCGAAGTTTAGCTTGAAATTCAATGGTGTTAAGTGCAGAATTATTAAGGAAACCAATTTTTAAATGGGGCTTTACTACGAATGAATCGTAATTACGGAGTATCCCGTTTGTGTGGAGGATTCTAAAAAGAATTGCCTGGGAGTTCAGGTCTTCAGTGATATTCTCTATTCTATATATTTCACGGGGCTATTCACGGGTTTTGGTTGGGTTTTTGGGATTGGATTAGTGTTATTTGAGGTACTAGGGGTAAGAGAGACGCTTCTACTGCGTCGTACAGGGCGGCTACTCGCTGGATTTGGGGATAGTGAGTTGATTGTGGGGGACGTGGGACGGGAAAGAGGTTTTTTTATGGATTTTTTCGCCTTTTGTGGGCTTTTATCCTTTTTGGATGGTTTGTTTTTTGCTTGTTATTGAGTTTGTTAATCTTTCTTTGTATTTGTGAACAGAAATACTCTAATTAATTAACATTCTCGAATTCCTCAATTAGATGATTTATTTCATCTGCAGTTGAGTGGTATTCTGTAACTGCCTGTGAGGCGCTAGAAGAAGATCTTACAGATAAGGAGGCTAGAGAACTAGCGGGAGAAATAGGCGGGAAGTCGCTAAGGTTTTCTAAATCGAAATCCTGACGGCTGTGAACGTAATGTACGTTCAGAAGACATTTTTGAGAGTACTACTTAAACGACTGTTTTTTTCTAGTTTGTTGGCCGCTGTCAACAAACTTCTGGGTGCTTTCCCAGGCCCTAAGCTGTAGTTCACTCCCTCTAGTAGTGCATGGGAGGTTTCTTCTTGCGTTCTCAACTTTACTAGATTGGTATCTGTTTCTGGTTGCCCTATAAATAGGGCCTATCAGTGTCCCTGACGCTCTAGTAAGTGTCCCGAGGGCTTACGCCCAGTTGCATGTGTAGACAATGCCCAGCCGTCTTACTTAACTTTCAGAATCAAATTAAACTAAAAATTAAGCTCGGTTGAGCTGTTTATTTATCTACACGTGGTAGATTTCGCGCGAAATTCTAATCTTGCGTTGACTGAACGACGCCAAGGCTACCAGCTATTGTGTAGGCTCCGCCCACTATAGCTGATTTTACACTTGGCTTGCTTTCAGTCGACGATAAATTGACGTAGATTTCGCTTCGTATGTAGATTTACACTCACGCGCACGTATGTATAGGTGACGTACCCAGCTCAAAAATCTTTGCCGAAATAGTGCAACTCGCAACAATATTATTTTCAAATTGAACTACGTCTGTGACTATAATGTAAAAAAGGATTTTTCTTAAATTGCACAAAGCTATAAAAATATATACAAATGGACAACATTAAAATAATATGTGTAAAAATGTCAGTCAGATCAAATCTCAGTCAAAATAAATAAAACTTTATTACATAAAGTTTTATATATAATAATATGAACATCATATTATTATATATAAATAATAAAATATGTACATCATATTTTATGTCATTCATTCAAAAAAAATATTTAATCTTTTCTTTTCCGTTTTCTTGGAGGATTATGGTCTTCGTTGCTGAAAAGAAAATAAGTGATTGTTATGATTTACTTGAAAATAATGAGAAATTAAAAAGTTATGTTAAACCATTAGGTATGAATGGAACCAGATGAGCTTGCTGAAGCTTTTCACCTCCGCATATTGATATTAGCACATTCTACTTGTAAATCCATACTTCTTTTGAAATTTAAACAACACATGAATAAATTAGTTCAGATTTTATTTAGAAAGCATTTGGTAGGTGATCAAATTATTAATACGCGGTTTACGCATGAGTGCGTAAAGCATTTACGGCTCAATTTTGTTTAAAACTCTTGAGTCGTAAACGTTGGCAGTTTCTTTACTGAAAGTTAGAGAACAATTCAAAACTATCATTTTAGGCTTTGGTAAGTGTTTCTATGTTAATTTTTTGCCGAGATATTGAAAATTGATTTACATGCGTCCGTACTGTTCTACGAGCCTCAGAGCGCCTTATTAAAAGTTCCATATCTTGGTCAAAAATTAACTCTTCTTCTTCTTCCGTGCCTTATCCGGTCCGGATGTTGGCGATTATCAAGGCTATCATGGCTCTGCGAAACAGCTCCGCGAAGGTCATCCCAAATCATTGTCGGAGGAGGTTTTTTAACCACGAGATACGACGGCATCCCGGTCCTCCCCCCAAAAAATTAACATAGGAACATTTACCATAGTTTAAAATGTTCTTTTTGAGTTGTTCTATAACTTCTACTAGAAAGATTTTTGGATTTTTGAAGTTGTTTATACCTTAATTTTGTTTAAATCTCTTATAAACAAATTAATTCGCAACTTTTTAGTGAATTTTTTAATGTTTAATTGAAATAACTTTTTTATTAATAAATAATAAGTAATTTTGCAAAGTTTTTTTGTCCATGGCTGAAACAAATACCTTTAAAACGAAGGGACTTTGAAACTTAATCGCACGTATGAAAGCTGAGTTATACTTGCTAGAAAAAGTGATAAAATACTGGAAACAGTACATTTTGGACTTATAAGGCTGAAATTTGGTAAATCATCATACTTTGTATAGTTGACATGCAATTGCCCTATAGAGAAATGTTAATGTTGATTTTAATGTATGAAGACAGACATGACTCCAACAGAAGAAAACAACGGAATAATGTGGTATATACAATGCTTCAAAAAGTGTCACCTGAAACAACTGAATCAACAAAAAATAAGAAACAACTGAATCCCATCTGGTCAGATAAATAGTGGGCATGAAAAGGGCAGAAGAAAAATATAGACATAAAACATTAATGTGAATTAACATTAAAACATACAGCGCAGGAAATTGGAAAATAAATAAATTGAACAGTACTAACACAGCTGTAAAAGAGAGGAATGCCTTCAAAAAAATTGTCGACTAACAAGAATTGACAAAAAAAAACAAGCAAGAAAATAAGATAAAGGTCTCGCCACAGAATAATAAACAATCAGAATGCCCACTCTCCATGGAAAAATAAGTACGCGCATCCCATTCGCGCAAACGTTCCGCCATGTTTTAAAGGGAACCAGTAGTATTTAATGAAAATTTATGTGGTGTGCATAGAAAAATTAAACCGGCTTAATTGACTTACGGCTATCATAGACATACTATACAATTATATTAACATTGTTAAATAATATAATAACATAATTATAATATAATTAAACATAAATATAAACAATTACATAACCTCAGAAATCATATGTCTGTGTTATGTGTTTCCTTCTAAAACATGGCGCGTGTGCTGAAAAACTTCAAAGGCGGCATCAGAGAGTGGGCATTCTGATTGTTTATTATTCTGTGGTCTCGCTAAAAAATGAATACTAACATATGTAGAAGAGAAAATATTAACGATGTAAAGATCACTGACAGCAGATGGATATAAAAATTGAATAGGTTGAAAATAGCATCTATTTACATATTTTCAAGTCGAGTATCATAACAAATTGTTTTAAATGTATATTTTTTAAACTATATATTTCTTACCTGCATCTCTTAAAATCATCATCTACAGATCGTTTGACAGATGAATTTTCGCTCTGTAAAAGAAATTTTGTTTTAAATTATATCCAGAAAATTTAAAAATTCTATTGTATGATTCACGGCTTTGTCTTCATTAACAATACTGTCGACTGATTTAGAAGATATGAGATCCCCTGGTAACTATTGTTAAATCTGGAAGTTAATTTCGTTAAAGTCAACATTTTTCGCAACCAAAATTGCGCGCTCAATGGGCCAATTATGATTCAAGTAATTATTCAGTATAACCGGGAAGACACTAACAATTAATTCATGTTTGGTCTCAATAAAAGTGCAGAAATTATCTAGAAGTTTGATGCATTGTGTATTTGGATGTAGTTTTATTTTACCATTTCCAATATTTAGCAAATGTTTGGCATTTTTAGCAAATAACATATACGCCGATAGATCATTCTGTGCTTGTACATTTATCTTAATGGCGAATCGAACTGTTTCGACATTTCGCCATAAAAACGATTGTGTTAAACATACAATAATCACACGCGAATATCAAAAAAGAGAGGAATAACCGGTAATGTCTGTCGGAAGTCAGCGGAGAATCCTCATTGGATGCGTGAGACACACTCAGTATCCTTAAAAGTTGAATGTTTGGGCACATATTATACAAGATCATATTATTGGTCCTATATTTGTAGATGGTAATCTGACAGCGGAAAACTATTTAAGCATGCTAAGAGACGATGTTATTTAAGCAGCTAGGTCGCCAGATCTTACGCTTTTGGATTTTTTCTGTTGGGGTATTTCAAGAACAAAGTATATGCAACACAACCAACTAGCATTGAAGACCTCAAAGAAAGGATAACTACAGAAATACGGAATATTTAACCTCAAACTTTAAAGAAAGTTCGGGACGAGTTTTATAGGAGACTGTGTTATTGCATACAACAAGGTGGAGAACATTTTGAGGATTTATTTTAATGTAATCCAATCAATTACCTCGGGTATTCTATGAATTAATTGTCTTGAAGGAAATTTTAATTTCAAAATTTCACCTTGTATTATTCATAATAGACCCTACATGATATAGTTCGTTGAGATCGGTTGTTAAGGAGCTTTTAAAAACATAAAAATATATCTATAGGGTGTTTCATTTAAAATACAGATTATGGACTATGCCAGACTTGCGTGGATTACCCTGTACATTCAAATTTATGTTTAAAAAGCTGACATTTAAATTTAAAAGTTAAGGTTTCCCAACGTTTTTTATTACTTTCTAAAATAAGGACACAAACAATTTTTTTCCACACTATATATATATATATATATATATATATATATATATATATATATATATATATATATATATATATATATATATTGTACAAGAATTGATATAAAAAAAGTGCAAACTTTATAGAACAATAATACGCCCAGTGCTCACGGATCGAAAACATGGGCAAAGACGACCCGAAGATGGACGAGATGAAGAGTTACTACGAATCTTTGAAAGAAAAGTATTGAGGACCATGTATGGCGGAGTTAACGAAAAGGATCTGTGCAGAAGGCAATATAATTTCGAAGGTTATGAAGATGGATGAAAGTGATCCTTCTAAAACAACCATACTAAATAGACCAGTCGAAAGAGAAATATCTGGACGATGTGCTGGATGATTTCAGGGAGATTGGAGTAAGAGGATGGAGAAGACAGACGCTTTACAGGTAAGGATGGAAGAATGTTTTGAAGCAGGCCAGCGCTCCCGACGGGCTGTAGCGCCAACCGATGATGAAGATACTACGGCACAGAGCTGGACGTACAGATATACTACAGAGATGAAAGGTGGACATCAAGACCTAGGCAAGACTGGGCACGGATCCCCAATAAGAAGACGATCAGTGGGAAAACCGCGAAAACTATTGGATGATAACTTACTGGAGGCACATTAAAAAACAGACAGACTCATGTCTACAAAAAAAAAAGAAGAAATACAACAGCAGACGGTAGCAACATTGTTTTTGAATCTAGAGAGAATTAAAAGAATAAAAATATACTTACAAATACATCTTGTAACTCTTCTCCTAACTCTTCAATTTTGATTTCCACTTCTTCAATTTGATTATGCGGAGCTTCCTCCTCTGCTAAAGAAATTGCAAGAATAAATTAATATGGAATTGTAAATGATGTAGTGTTATCAATAAGTTCTTTATTACTTACCAACCGAATCTTCACTTTCGCTAATCTGAGTAAACAAAACTGTAATTTTTTCTTCATATTCTTCTGGTATCTGTTCTGCTTCTTCACCTTGGGTCTGGAGTTGTTCTTGCGTCTGAAAATTGGGATGATTAGATATACTAAAATTTTTTAGGCATTTCTGGCGTTTTTGCATTTTTGTAAGTATTAACTTTTAACTTAGTATCTTTAATAAGTTAATTGGAGTAAATGTGGGAACATTGGCAGTCTAAGTAAGAGAGACGACTGTACAATAATGGATATCGATCATATCAGTGCAGTCCATTCATCGTCCGTTTTGCTTTGAAAATTATAGAAGGCACATATTTGGACAATAATCTAAATTGTGATTTCGAAAACTAATAAACCTTCGTATTTCTACTTTTTGTTTTTATTCTCAGATGGCGCAGTAGCGTTTGTATGAAGTTATTTTATTATTACTTCCTTTTGACGGAAAAGTTTGATTTCACATTAAGGGCTTCTACACTGTCGCTCTGGGGAGTCCTTATACAACGAAATACGTACAAGTGAATAGTAGAGGAACTATACGTGAAATCAAATCTTAACTGTTTTTTTATATCTTTATTTACTCGTATACTTTAAGCATAAAAAAATAGTTCTCGAAATGTTCTTGCCTAGATAAATCGATATGTCGTGGAATGCAAATTTAGATTCCATATCGGTCCATTCTTCGTCTGTTTGCTTTAAAAATCGTAGAAAGCAAAGATGTAGGCAATAATCTGAATTTTGGTTTTGAAAACTAAGGAATCTTCGGATTTCTACTTTTTGTTTTTAATAAAAATATACTTACAAATACGTCTTCTAATTGTTCTCTTAACTCTTCAGTTTTGATCTCCACTTCTTCAATTTGATTTTGCAGAGATTCCTCCTTTGCTAAAAAAAAAATAGCAGGAATAAATTAACATCGAATGGTAAATGATGTGTTATCAGTAAGCTCTTTGTTACTTACCAAACGAATCTTTATTTCCGCTAATCTCAATCATGAACGAAGCAATATTTTTTTCATAATCTTGTTGCATCTGGGGTGCTTCTTCACCTTGAGTCTGGTGTTTTTCTTGCGTCTAAAAATTGTGATGATTAGAGATATACAATTTTTATAGACATTTTTTATAAGTTTTAACGTTTAACTTAGTATCTTTTATAAGTTAATTGGAGTAAATGTGGGGACATTTGGAGTCTAAGTGAGAGAGAAGACTGTACAATAATGGATATCGTTCGTATAAGTTCAATTTGAGAGAAGATATTTGATGATTCCGCTTTTATGAATAACTTTTGAAACAGAGTAAATACAGAGAATAAAAACAGAGTTCGAAAAAACACACATTCTAACTTTAAAAGAAAAGCTATCTTTTTTTAAACAAAATGATTGGTAAGATTGGTCAGTACTTATGATTAATTCATCGAGCAAAAAGACAAAAGAGGGAATGTAAAGGTAGTGGGGGCAAACATATTGTTAGACAGGAAGTGCGATCTTTAGAGGCCACATTAAACAAGGAAAGAGAGTCTCTCTCCTTGTTTGACATCAAATTTAGTTGGGTTATGTTATTGTTTGTCTCAAATGTCACATGAAATCTTATTTGTATTGAAGTTTTTTAACAATTGTGTCGCATTTTAGACTCTTATCATTAATAATTAATGAAAACTTTCTCGTCTAAGACACATTCTGAAAAATATTATATAGCTACTGTTGATAAGTGTCGGAAAATTTAAATTTGGCGCATTCGCATTTCCGGATATGTCCGCCATCAGAGGCCACTTTTTTGGTCTCCTTTTTATAAGGATTAGATTCCCTCGTTTGTCTTATTGCTCGATGGATTAATTATAAATCATACCGATAAGTTTGCGACTGTTTTGTATTATAGCTAGATACTCGACAGCCAATGGTTTACTCTACTGTACAGCATAAAGCGACGTATCCATTTCGAGAAGCTGCAGCGCTCGTCATGTTCGGTATCGTTGCCGCAGAAAGTGAATACCACACTGTTACGCTCGGGACGAGAGAAATTTTGTCGATCTTTGGAACCGCGGCAAAGGAATTTGTTACTGCCGCGCGAAGTGTGGACGAGTCTGGACAAGTGAGTACATTTTTTTTAAATAATCATGGATAATGCCAATTATATACACATACATACAGTGGTGTTAAAAAGTTCTGCATCACCTAAGCGCCTTATAGTTTTTGAGGTTTAACACAAGTTTTTTGTATATTTTCATTAATTCATTCTTAATTCATTTTAAGTTTGTGCTTGTAATTAGCATTATCGGTATACTTACTAACGTTTTTTAATTACTAGCTCAAAATTCTACAGAAAAGATTAAAATAATATGATTGAAGAGATTTTCCATAATCCGAGAAAATTAACAAACTAAATTATCGGACGAAAAGCGTTTTGAAATTATTTTTCACCATAAAAACGACAAATCTAGTCGCGAAATAACATCCGCAGTAAACTGTAATAAATCTACAGTAATTAGAGTAATTACGAAGTATGCTGAACAAGGAAAATCGACGACAGACCGCGTAGTGGCCGACCAAAGAAAACTTATGTTCGGGATGTCGCTGCCTTAAGAAGAACAAGTCTGGCAGACAGAAGCCTTAGTTTCACCCATTGACGAAGTAAGCGTGTGCACTTCCACTGTGAGAAAAATACTGCTTAGTTTTGGACTTAGTAATCATGCTGGAAATGCCTATGTCAGAAGATTTCCTGAAGAATTTTTTCCAAAATGTGTTTTTCCCACAATTAAACATGCAACATCCATGTTGAATGAGTTGGTCGCCTATACGTTGTCTCTGGGATGATGAATGCTACCAAATACATTGAGGTACTACAGAATAAGATGCTGCGTAGTGGAAAAGACCTGTTTGGCTAAGAAACATTTATTTTTCAGGATGATAATGCTCCTTGCCATAGAGAAATTGGTTAAAGCTTGGATGGAGAGTAATGAAATTGATAGGATGGACTGACCAGCGCAATCCACGGATCTCAATCCCATCGAGAATTTGTGGCAAAGGATATCAACATCATTTCCAAAAGCAAACCCACAAATAATAAATTCCATGCCCAAAAAGATGTGAACTAGTTATTAAAAACGAGGGCTAGACAATTAAATATTAAAATTAGTTTAAATTACTTCAATGTGATGTATAATAAATATCGTCTTGACGTAAATAGCCTAATTTTTGTAATATTGAATACAAAATTTTTTCGGACTACATTTCTTTATTAATCAAAATTTTTGCTGTGTTTCCATTTTATAATATTGTGTTTAAGTGCTTGTTTAATGAAGATAGTAAATGGTTAAAAAATATTTAAGGTAAATGCCTTAAACTTCTATTTTCATGTATTTGGTAAGGTGATGCAGGACTTACGTGGCTGAATCAGGTATATTAATTTTAATGATACACCTTATTTTTTATTATTTTATTTACTTTAAGCAGAGATAGTGACTATGTTTTCAAAACCATGTTTTGATCTGTTCGCCATGTTCCTGGAATTATTTGTACATCAATACCAATATCACTTGATAAATTCCGCTGTGCTGAATGTGTTGTTTTTGTAGAAAATTGAAAATATATATGGTAGTGAAAACAAATGTTTTTGCCTTTTCGGGTTGAAGAAGCAATGTTTTCCTTGCACTCTAATGAACTCTAAAAATCGAACTTAATCTGGATCTCCTTTTTGAGGTCCCTCCAAAAGGCTTGATAGTATAATTATTTAATAGAAATGCGTGTCTCCTAGGACATAATACGGAATTTCTAGAATGTATGGCGGTTAAAGTATCGAAGGCGATGGAATGTGCATTGAATTTTCTTCCAGTCTTTTATGTAAGCTATTATTTGGTCAATCGCCACCGATTGGTAAATAAAATTTAAGCATAATTTTGTGTACCTATTTAAATTTAATCAGTTAATTGCATTTGTACCAGAGAACATACGAACACAGAGAAGCGACACGAGGCCCGGAATTCGTGTATCTTTTCTGTATACGCATGACCCAAATAAGGTGCTTTACTGTCAAAAACACGTGCGTTTTCTTCAACTTTAGTCGCTTACGATAGTCCATAGGCATCTGTGGTAAACTCTCGACTACACAAGTGCATTTGACCATTTATCTAATTTACTTAGTAGTTAAAAGTTTATAGTTATAGTTTATAGTTAAAATATATAAGTTAAATATATAAGTTTATAGTTATAGTTTATAGTTAAAAGTTTAATTTATAAGTATTTAAAATGTCTTCTGGTTATTGTTGTGCGTTTCGCGGTTGTTCATCTGTGACAGGAAAAGGAATAAGTTTATTTAGATTTCCTAAGAATAATAACAGGTAATTACTATTGCTTTGTAATTATTATTAGTTATTACATAATAGTATTAATTTGACTTTGAGTAAGCCGACACCGACGTGTCCGCCCGAGTTCTCGTTAAGTGAAGCAATAAAAAAATAAATTTTGGTTTGCCAAGGGATAGTTCAGAATAAAAACCAGAGAACTACGAACACACATTAAATTTATTGTCTCCGAAGGCTCAGGTCAAAAAATCAACACAGATGTTGGCCTACTGGTGTGAAAGCGCTCGCAGACAACAATACGAATATAGTATTTTTAGGAAATAAAAATATATAGAGGGTTTTATACACGAGAATATTTTATTTAAACGAAACAAAGAAATTCCTAAAATGCTCAAACTAAAAATTGTTGAAAACAATTAGATCGAAAATTGGGAAAATCTTAAAATTACAGAACAAGACTTCAAAATAAAAACATGATTGCAAATAAACAAACTTACATTAACATAACTTCAAATATTTGCTGTCTTTTTCACCAAACAAACTTACATTAAATTATGAAAGTTAGGTTATTACATTTTTATATTTATAGAAATATACTCGTACAATAGTTACTTCTTGATTTTTTATTCGTTTTAGTCGAATATCGTTTACTCCAATATTCGACTTTAAAGGAAAAATGTAATTTTAATTGGTTTCCAAGACATTAACAATCGATATCAATATAAAGTTTCTTGTTTCTCAGTCTCACCCAAAGAGAATTGGAATTTTTAGAGTTTGTGAAATTTCCGTGGCAGTTACAATGGCTTTGCTATTTTTCGATTATATTACGAAAGATAATTTATTAGGAAATTCCACGACGAACAAATTATATCTTGTATCAACACAAGCCAAAAAGAATCGGTGTATTATTGTATTATCAATGTCAACATCAGAATAAACAAAAAAGTATTTTCATCTATGGTTCTATCAATACGATTTTCACCATTACTTTGCGTTGTGCGATGTATTTGCAACCTTTTGTAAATCAAAAATAATTACACCATTTAGAATGTCAACAAAAGCCGGCCCTGCATGTAATTATTTTTTCAGTGCAATATTTCATATTTATTGAAAGTCAACATAAATGCTCAATTTTATTTAAGAATTTATATTGTGTAATATGCCCACTAACTATTAAAAAATAAGGTGCTTTCCTGTCATTTTCACTCGTTGGCGGCTTGCCCAAGCAAGATCAAAGGAGTGTCGCGTACTTGGAATTCAGAATTACAAATTTCTAGGTACGTAAAGTCGGTGTTTATAAGAGATTAGAAAATTTCTCGGAATTTTATTCAGGTAAAAGGATAATGTTTACTTAATATCAAATTATCACTAAATGGGCTTCTGTGAAAGAAAGTTTATTTGAAAAGAACTTAATTTTTCGTTTGTCGTTCATTTAGAATTGAAGTCAGTGTAATAACTATAAATATGAGTGATATAGAAATGATTAGTGACGATGCCCTGTACATTCCTGCCACTATTTCAGGAAGTGAAAACGAGTCTGAACCTGAAAAACGTTCTGGTTATATTCATCTCACACACGATGCAAAGCAAATCGAGCTTAACGTTTACAACGGTAAGTACTCGTTAAAAATACTCTTTACTTAACCTTCCTAATACTGGGTTTTTAAAACGACCAGTACCAGGTGGGGCGACTTCTCGCTCCAGTAGTTTGGCTCACTTTTAAGCGATTCTATGTATCTCATTAATCTTACCGTTTTTTAACTCTTTATTGTCTGTATACTTTGTTTAGTACCAATTCAACAAATTAAAAATCAAAGACAGACGACAGTCACATTTAGAAACTCTATTAATTTTAGCAGTTATCAGATATCAGACGTACTTACGGCTAATTGCACTTTACAAAATCTTAGAGAGATAATCCCAACTAAAAAGTGATGCTTCGAAGAATCTAGACAAAAATAAGCTAATTAGGAGAATTATAAAAGCTCTCACTGTGTAATAACAAGAATGGAATTTCAAAGATAAAGCAAACACATTAAAAACAACTGCTATGTAAAGAATGCGACTGCACATCATGGCAAGTAATTACTAAAGTCATTAGTAACCATTTTCCAAAACTTTCGTCTGAACTGATAAAATCATATTTGTAGAACGTGAAAACACTCGATACCACGTGGGGCGAATTCTTGCCCCACATACATTTCCGCGAAATCCGAGAATATTTAATTTTCTGTTCGCGGTATTTTGGGTTTTACTACTTCTTTGTGCTCTTAATACATCAACTATCAATGTCCTAAGCGATTGATTAAATTTAATTACAGATATTAATAAAAACGTTAGACTTGGGGCGAGAATTTGTCCCACCCGGTATTAGGAAGTTTAATCATATTTAACGATTAATTAATTCATAAAAACACAGAATTCCGAGCAGAATTCCTTAAAAAGTAAAATTACATATTTTTTCTTAGGTCTTCTTTCGACGATGCCGATGACGAAAAAGACGGTTTTTTTGGCACAAGTGTCACGATCCACTGTGTACAAACTTATAAAACGGTCCAGTGTTGCGAAAAAAAAAAAGAGAGGATTCTGGTGCCCATCGAGTATTACCGAATTTTCATTGATCAGCTATACGGGAAACAATATATCATATGTATTCAGTGAATAACTTACCAACTTTAAATAAACTTTTGAGTGAATTAAGAAACTAAGAAATAATACCCGAGTGTCATAAAACTATTTTTTGAAGGTTTTTAAAATCTAATGGTTTTATGTTTAAAACAGTGAATAAACGGCAGTCAATTATGGAATCCAGCCGTTTAATAAAGTGGAGGTTCGATACCCACGATATAGTTAAAAAATGTTGGACCGGTGGTAGTAAAAATTGCGTCACCAATGTTCCTCCCTCTAGAGGGAAGAGAATTTGTATTTTACATTGTGGGGGAGAATTAGGATGAGTAGAAGATGCTTTATTACTCTCTGCTTAGAATGTAAGTGATTGTCGCTTAGGTTATTATCAAGATATGGACAGTACATTGTTTGATAAGTGGTTTGAGCAGCAATGACTACCTAAATTAAAAAGAAATAGCGTTATTATTTTGGATAATGCACAATTAGTACCTAAATTAAAAAGAAATAGTGTTATTATTTTGAATAATGTTCCGTATAATTGTAGACTAAAGAGTAAAATTCCAAACACTAATTCAAGAATTTTTATCAAAACATGAAATATATTTTATGGATTCTTACACAAAAAAAAACAACTTGTAGAACTATTAAAATTAGTTAAACGTGAAACAAATTATGTTATCGACAGGCTAGCTGAGAATAATGATCATAAAGTATTAAGATTACCTACTTACTATTGTGTACTGAATCCAATAGAATTGTTGTGGTCTCAATTAAAAAGTAATCTGAGGAAAAATAATAATTCTCCTAAATCAGTTTCGATTGTTGTAGATTTAATTAAGACCGATATTATAATATTACAGCAGATAATTGGAAAAAATGTATAGAGCATGTCAAAAAACTAGAAGAAAAATACTTTTAGATACAGTTCCAAAACATTATAAGAGTAGTTATAGGTTTAAACGATAGCGATGATAGTGATACGAATTTAAATGTAGACGATAGTTAAGTTTAAACTTTTTTTGTATTTTTTTTACTATGTTAAATATATATTCTAATATAAAAGTAGTACTTATATGCATTTTTCTTTTACTTTGTGGGATTCCCGTAATTTTGATAAAATGTATCAGCATATAAGCCCGACCCTGTATACAACTATACCTAGAAGATTAAATCCAATATATCTTACAACGAATAGTAAAGAAAATTTTAATCCGCATCAACAAGCGCAAACAAAACGATGCTATAGAAATATTTGTAATTGTAGTATTCTGATCCACTGTTTATAGGGGCTTGAAACGTAATATGCATCCTATCGAACGGTGGCTCCAATAACATGAGAGATGTTCAATTTTTTATCAAACTGTATCTATTTGTCTTTGTTTCTCCAACGGGAGATTGGATATCTTTAAAACTACCTTGACTTTACTTACAACGGGTCTAAATGACTTGTATTTTCTCCTCCGTTATCTCGAGAAATCGGTTTTTTGTTAATTATATCATCTCTAATATCTATAACTTTATCTCTCAGGATATTTTCTTTTTTCTCATATATTGATGTGAATTATTATTCTCTTGTCTGTGATCAACTTGCTATTTTAATATATTTTGTTGATATTCTGGTATTTAACCGATTTAGGTGCTCTGACGTTTTTGAAAACTTACTACATATTTTCCTTAATCATTCTAGACAAGTCTGAATATATTGTCAATATTTAGAACTTTCCTCAGTCTAAAAGTATCTCTTGTATTTTACACATAGGTCATTCGAGCCGGATAATCACAATAAACGTTTCAAATAAAAAGTGAAAATAATAAAAAGGTTTACTTCGCTATAATGTTCCTGTAGTTCTGTTAGTTTCATTTGAAGACTAACTTTCTCTTTCAAAATTTCTGCGGCTTTACCAAACAAAAAGTTTATGCCATACTTTGCTTCTGCCATTGTTTGGAATTTGTCGATTCTAGTTTTCGCTTCAGTGTCTGAAAATGATACTATATATTAGATTAGACGAACAAGATAAGTTTTGAAAAATCAATTTTTACCTTCATTATAATCCAATAGATGTTGCTGCAGATTCTGTATTTGAACACTTCTTAGCACCAGATCATCTTCAATTGATTTATAGTCGGTGGGATTTCCGTCAGAGTTATTTCTCATTTCATCTAATTGATGCTGCACGGTAGCTTGATCTTCCAAAAGAACGTTAAGCGTTGTTTCTGCTTCCAATAAGGTTTCATAGAGGTCAAATTCTTGTTTTAGCTAAAAAGTAAATATATTTTTGTAACCTCGACTTATTTTTTAACAAGCGATGGTTGTACACAGTATTAGAGGAAGAATGCCATGCTTTCAAATGGGGCAGATAGAAAATCTATTTTACATCGGCAACATCATTACGGTACGTCAAGTAGTGGATGAGCAAGAGAATTGGTATGAATTTGGTACGGCATGTTGCATGTTGGCATATGTATTTATAACAATATCGGTTAATAGGCCAACGATGATGTTATTGTAAAAATGCAGAGTCTATAAGGTTAGATTTGTAGCAAAAGTATTATGAAACATATTATTCAATATCTGTGCTCTAGTTTCTAATTGTTCTAATAAAAATGGGTAAACAATTTACGTAATGAACAATAAGTATTACATTGCTATGGAATATGACTACCACGACCAATCCAACGTGGTGGATCACTTCCCCCCCTCCAGAATGTAACCATCTGCATAAATGTGTGTACCATCTTGCATAAACCACATATTTTGAATTCCCAGCATTTTACAATCGAGAAAAAGTATTACAACGCCAGTATAGAAACTTAAGAAGCGATAGAAAAAGGAAATTGTAAACATGATGAAAGACAACGTCTAAATACATACACGGCACCTAAAGAAGAAGATGAAAGCTTTTCTTGAATAAGACATTTAGCAGCCATAACAAAGCATTTTGTGATATTACATTATCATCTTTGAGTTGTTTTAAACAACTCAAAGTGAGTTGTGTTTTGACTAAATAAAAACTATTAATTATGCTTATCCACAGGTACTTAGTGCTTTACCGCACAAATATAACAATTAAGAATTATTATGCAGCTGACTTATAAATTGCGATTATCTCGAAAACGGTTGAATTTTGAAGTAATTAACAAGTACACCTTTTCTTTGTAAAAATAATGTATCTATAATATTTTTTAACACAAGTAGAGCTAACTTAAAGAGCAAAAAAGTTAAGCGCAAATTTATGCCACACATGTAGCATATGTGGCGCCCTCTATCAGCTATATTAAAGTATGTATAAAATTATAATTTATCCCACTCAAAAGCAGCCAATTGTAAATTTTTGTCCATAAATATTTACAAACGTAAAAGTTATAGAGAAAAACAAAATTTTAAATTTTCACTTTAATACCCTATATCTTTCTTAATATCAACATTTTATAAAAGCAAGTTGGCTTAAATCTTAATATTTTAAAGTGCAGAATCTACGATTTCTGTATATGCAATTACTTAAGGACCATCCTGTGTATATATACATCTTTAATTAATTTTTCTTTTGTTCCTTTATTGTGTTTTTTACTATTTAATTAAGAATAGAGCCCCAAAATATACACAGGTTATTAAGAAGCAAAAAAGGAAGCACTTACCCATAGTTCGATTCGTTCAGCTTTACCAGTATTCTTCGATTCCTGCGCCTGTTGTTTTCCGGACAACGCGAGTTTCAATCTCCTATTTACAGCTTCTGCTTCCTCCACTCTTCTCTTAAATACGTTCTGCTGTTTACTATGAATAACTTTCATTCTTGCAATTTCACCTTCACCCATCGCCAGTTTGACTTTGGTTTGCGTCAATTCGAGTATTTCTTTGTTTAAAACTTTAAGCCGTTCTTCATCTTTGGCCTTCTTTTTAATCAACTGATTTTGATCTTGTACCTATAATAAAATAAATTAAGTAAAATTAAGCCTGTCTTCTTGATATCGAAACAATATTGTTGAGTTAGATATGCCTGTTTGCGGTGCTGTCCGTTAGAGAAATCGAGAACCCTCACAGTCGTCGAACTCAGATAAAGATATGACCTTCGAGAATTTTTGGACATCCCGATGATTCGAAAGTCGCCTGAAAGCTGTTCTGATTCGTACTCATTATATAAGCCAGCAGAGAGGCTCTGAGATTAGTATTAGCGAATCTATGTATCAAAGCGAATAAAGAACTTTTCCCTATCTGTCCAAAAATAGTTGCTTTTTAATTACTTTGGTGTCTCTTACAATAAAGTTAACATTCCATGCTTTTTTTTATAAAAACTTTTTTTCAAATTGTTCATTGGCCTATCCATTGGCCCAATGGATATCGACGCGGTTCAACCCGGAAGACTGGTGAGTTTAATATTAATTTTTGTAATAGTATTAATCTTAGCTCTAGGTTTCATTGTACTAACCGCGGAAATCTTTCGCTATATGAATTACTTTTCAAACCACACCACTGGTCAAAAATATAATACAATATTGGGTATGAAAAATAGGGTAATGTCCATTGTTGATGATAATTTATTACAGAAAAATCTGGACATATTATACAAAAAAATTTTTCGAAACAACGGCTATCCTAAACATATTTTAAAAAAACTCATTTACAGCAGTAATTTCTATGATGGTCCTGTCCTTGAGTCCAACAATGAGTCAATCAAATATAAAAAACTTCCCTTTATCAATGGTCTAACTCATTCAGTCATATCCATATTTAAAGATGTTTCCAATATCAATATAGCTAAATACAATACCATTAATAGCAAACAACTTTTTTCCAAAATTAAAGATCCAGTACCAACCTTATATAGGAGTAATGTGGTATATGAAATACCGTGTCTAGAATGTGAAAAAAGCTACATTGGCCATACATCGCAGTGGCAAAAACAACGTATCACACAGCACAAAAGTGATTGCCGCTTGGGAAAAAATAGTTGTGCAGTAGTCGAGCATTATAAAACTACCGGTCATCTGTTGGACTATAACAATGCTCGTATTTTGGCACAGACTGACAATTACAAAAGTAGGTTATTTTTGGAGATGTACCACATCAACAAAAATAAGCAAACTTTAAATTATAAAACAGACACGGGGCAATTAAGTAACATATATTGCAATATATTGAACAAAATTTAAAACTCACTCACCTTAATGATTAATCATACTAACTAGCCTTAATGATTAATTAAAGAAATAATATTCCTCTGTTTTCTTACATTGTTAGTTTTTGCATTTGAAATAATTTTTAGTTGTTTCCATCTCATTTACTTACTGTTAACGAACGTGCTCATATATATATTTACATTTTAACAAACTTATATATTATCAAAAAAATGTTTATTTTAATATCAAATTTATTTATGTGTGAAATCTTGTAAGTCTGTAAGTATTGTAAATCTAAGTGTACGTCAGTTTTTTTTTTTTGAAATGTTTGTTTTTTACAGTTACTCCTGATGAAGCTTTTAAATAAAGAGCGAAATATTGAGTTTTAGAAAAAACAAAGATTCTTATTTTAATATAGACCACATACCCGATATTTCCAACATACTTATATATGTTATACTGCTATATATATATATATATATATATATATATATATATATATATATATATATATATATATATATATATATATACTACATCAATTAACTTACCTTTTTTTTCAACACAAATAACTGATGGTCTAAGTCTTGAACTCTCTTCCTACGTTGCTCTGACCATTTTCCAGGCTTCACAATATTTTTTAACACATGCTGGAGTTCCAGCTTTTTTTGTTCTAGTTGCGCAATTTTTGCTTCATTTTCTGCAATTGCCTAAAAATTATACCACAGAGATAAATGAGTTAATATGAAATGGTGACAATGTTAACTTTATGATTCGAAATGTTTAGCTCGCCAAAAATAGGTTACTTGATAAGAATTTAACAAAAATAAACAAGTAATAATAATATTTGACAGTAACAAATTGACATTTTTAACAAAAAAAAAAATTCATTCGAAAGTCAAAAATCTTCATCACCGGAAATGCAACGTTACGTATCATTTAGCTTTTTCCATTTATATATATTTAGCCTCCTAGATTTTTGATCCATACTTTAGGAGCATATGCGTGATAGTGGTGTTAGGGAACAAACCAATCTTCAAGTTTCCATTGCCTTGGCAAATGAGATTTCATCAATAACACAGAACTGCCACCAAAAAATTGTTTAAAATTTGATAAGTGATTTTCATACTGTTTTCATTGCTGATTTCGGGAAAAATTGTGAAAAAATTCCATCACGTACAGTTATTTCACAAAATAATATAATAAAGAGTAATTAGGAGAATGTCAGTGCCTATCTGTCACGCACCCCTTTCCTCAAAATTAACAAGCAGTGAGCCTCTGCTACTGATCTACAGTTCACAAACAGCTCTTCACTCGGTGCAGTTCATGTGTTGTTGTTACTAGTGATTTAAAGTAGTGACTGTTTTCTTGAGTTGTGAAGTTATGTGTTGTATAGACATTGAATAACGGCTACCAGAGGATGTATAAACTCGCCAAATTACTGTTTCAGTTGCGGTAACTATACCGTTAAAAAGCAACTAAGAGACGTTTCAGATTTCGTTGAAAAAGTATATTTCGCTTATTTTCGTATAAATTAGGTGATCAAGATAAGCCTTGGGCCCCACATAAAGTTTGTTCAGTGTGTGTTGAAAAACTGAGGCAACGGTTTCAAGGTAAGCAGTCCTTACGTTTTGGAATACCAATGGTTTGGAGGAAGCCCAAAAATCACAGTAATGACTGTTATTTTTGTTCTTGCAACGTACGAGGTTTCAATTTGAGAAACAAAAAGAATATTTCTTACCCCAACATTCAATAAGCCATTCGCCCTGTCCCTCATAGACCTGAAGTACCAGTACCAGATTCTTTGGATGATATACATGATGATCACGAACCATTGGATCAGCAAGGTGATAGTGAAGAAGACAGTGATTGCTACGATCCTGGCACCACCGATCCCATTCCATTCTCACAATTTCAACTGAACCATTTGGTAAGAGATCTAGGCCTTTCTAAAGAATCAGCAGAAGTTTTAGGATATAGATTGAAAAATAACCATATGTTGTCTCCGGATGCATCCTTTTCTTAGTATCGATGTAGGAAAAAGGAATTTGTGTTTTTCTTTTCAGATCACAAATGAACAATATGTGGCGATTTATAAGTGATTTCATTGCTGCCTGGTCAACAAAGTGGCTACACAAAGTTTCCTTTCTTTCTCTGTGAATGAGAGAGTAGAGTCATAAAGCAACATTACATAAACAAAGATTGGACCTTTAGAGAAGGCTTACAAGTAGCAGTTAAAAATGTTGAGAGGAAAAGCCTTGTGAATCCCAAAAAGTTGTTACTTCTACCACTTCACATTAAGTTGGAGCTGATGAAACACTTTGTCAAGGTATTGACTAATGAAGGTTTCAGATATCTTTGTGGAGTTTGCTGGTTTATCCATGGCAAAGTTAAAGGAAGGAATCTTAGTCGGACCGGACATTAGAAAACTAAAGACAGATCCCGAATTTGTGGACAAAATGGAAATCAAATGAAAAGGAAGCATGAAAATCCTATTGCCGGTTCCTAGTTAACAAGAGATCCAAACTACAAGCCAATCGTCGCAGACATGATCGACAGCTTTAAGAAGCTGGACTGTAACATAAGCATTAAACTTCACTTTCTCCACTCATATCTTGACTACTTCCTGGGAAACCTTGGTGATGTTAGTGAAGAACAAAGCGAAATATTTCACCAAGACATCAAAGAAATGAAAAAAAGATATCCAGGAAGATGGAACGTGAGCATGATAGCAGACTACTGCTGGATAATGAAAAGAGATGATCCTCAACGAGTCCACAGCCGGAAAAGCAGCAAAAGAAGCTTCGACAGAAAGCGAAAGCGTTATTATAAGGACTTAGAAGCTTAAAGAGAAATGTAACAGTACTGGAAATGTAGTTTAGAACATGATTAATAATCCAAATAAATTTTATGACGTGGGAAAAAGGTGAAAAATTGCTTTACATTTTGTTATTATACCCATATTCTCCAACAATCTCCCTACTTTGTGAGAAAGTAAAACCTGACGTGATAGACAAAAATCGTTTGAAGTTTTAAAAAAGTCAGTTACCAAATTTCAGACAACTATCAAAAAACTTTTTTTGTAGGCCTGTGTAATATCCCTTTTTTCTAACGTCGCACATGTTATCAAGTCAAATTGACAGTGACAAAGTATCTTCTTCGTTGAGTACCGTGCCCAAGTTTTAGGCATTGGTAGCTTCCATGACGATTTGCCGATATCGTTCTCGATCTTGCGCGACATGTAATAATTCATCTGCTGATAAGCCAGTCCATTGACGAAGGTTTCGGAGCCATGAGTATTTCTTTCTACCAATTCCTCTTCTTCCGTCGATGTTTCCGTTGAGTATCAACTGCATTATTCTGTATCTGCTTCGTCTCATATGCCCCAGATATTCGAGTTTTCTTTTTTATCATCTGACAAAGTATCAGTCACTCACAATTTCTTGACTCCTTCTTTGGAGTGTTCTGGAACCCCCCCCCCCCCCATGAAACTGGATAATTAAAGATGGCATTCGAACAAGTAGATGAAAAATTGTTATAAATTAGAATAAAACTTTAGATTTAATGCAGAGTTTCTTTAAAGATCTACATACATCCTCACGCAGAGCTGCACAAATACATGATGTAGGTCAAACCCCACAAAATCCAGTTATTGGAAGGATTAAATAAAGATGACTACGCTCGTAGACTACAGTTTAGTGAGGTAATGATAAATACAATTGTAACTGATGAGAACTTTATTAACAATAAGTTCTTTCGACGAAGTAGGGAATGTAAAAATAAATGCATATAACTTTAACGTATTGGAGTCAGGTAAATCCACACTGGGTACGTGAAAATCTTACTCAAAAACCACAAAAACTAAATGTATGGTCGGGTATAATAGGTGCTCAGTTAATTGGGTCGTTTTTTATAGAATAGAATAGAAAATACGACAATATCACAAAATAAAAGATAATAAAATATACAATCCATTGCAAAAGTTAAATAAAATGTAAACTGCATAATAAAACCTTACAAACTAATATGTTTAAGTTCCTGCATGTGATACCGAAATATATATAATAATACCTCGGTTGCTCGTACCTAAATGTACTGTAATTTCTTAGTTATTCGTTGAGAAACTCTTCCACTGAATATTATGGTCTTTCAGATAGATAAGCTTTTGTCAATTTACGGAACTTAAGGAGAAAGAAGTTGTAGATTTAAGTTGCAAAGGAAGATGTTTGTATAATTTTTTTGTCGAATATATTATAGATTTTTTTACTAACTCAGTGGACAGGATCGGAAATACACATCAAAGGTTGAATTTCTGATGGAATGGTCGTGATTAGGTCTTGCTTGAAATACATGTAGGTGTTTACAAATTAAGCAAACAGTTATTTTACTGAGGCCAAAAAGATACTGTATTGCTCTTTTTTGTAATTTAAAAATAACATCAGATTGGGCAGCTGTACTAGAACCCCAAAAAGGAAGGACATATCAAAGATGTGACTCGAACAAAGAAAAATATGTTATTTTGGAAGATGCTAAATTGATTTCCTTCGAAACACATCTTATTGCATAGCAGGCTGAAGCTAATTTCTTACAACAAATCGATATGTAGGGACCATTTAAGGTTGCTATCTATAAAAATACCAAGGATATTTTACAGAATCAATAATACTGATCTGGCTGTTATTAAGAAGCAAGGGTTGACGAGCTCCTTTATCGGATAATGCTACTGTCTTATCTACGTTAAAAGAGAGTAAATTAGAATCGGACCAGGTTTTTATTTTAAGTAGATCAGAAGTTATAGTTGCGTGAAGAGTTGCAATATTACAGTTCCTGCAGGTGCTACTGTTATCATCAGCAAAAAGAAAAATTTTTCCATCAATTGTTAAGTTAGTAATATCATTTATAAAGATAAGGAACAGTAGAGGACATAATACTGAACCTTGTGGTACTCCACATACAATGATTTTGTGGCTTGAGTTAGTATCATTTGCGCTAACTAGTTGTTTCCTATTCCTCAAGTAAGATTAAAGCTAGTTCAAAGAAATACCTTGAATTCCGTAGAAATTTAGTTTTTTTTATTAAAATTTCGTGATTTACACAATTCTAAGCTTTGGCATATTCACAAAAAACGGTGGCAGTTGCATAAAAAGATTATTATTTAATGCTTGATAGACCTTATGTAGTACAGAAAACATAGCATCATTGGTACATTTATTAGATAAAAAGCCGAAGTGACCTTGTGATAAAATGTTGTTTTCAACGAGAAAGGACATAAGTCAGGCTTTTAAAAGTAACTCAATAATTTTGGATAGGACCGTTAGTAAGGCAATAAGTATTTTTCACCATCCTTATGAAGATGAATAGAAGGACGTTGAATAGAAGGGCGATCATTATGATATACTACTTAGAAATAAAATTGTATCCACCCTGAAAAACAAGCTTGGAAACAATTTTTTAATAAGATATGGTTTCGGCAAGACGGAGCTACAGCTCATTTTGGTGTAAAGATTCGGCATTGTTTAGATCAGACATTTCCCGGATGATGGATTGGTAGATTAGGTAGTATTGAATGGCCTCCCTGTTCACCCGATTTGAATCCTAAAGATTATTTTGCCCAAAGTAAAATTTATCGATGAATCAATATTCATTTCTAGAGAAACATGGAGAAATGCAATAGACGCATTCTACCATTGTTTAGAATACTGTCACATTAACAACGCAGGATATTTTGAGCACTAGGCGGTTCTAGGCTTTTGTTTTATCTTTTTAAGATGTTCCTGAACGCATAAAATTGATTGTAATGTTTACGGTTGAACTGGTATTAAAGTGGAGATTTCAATAAAGGTACAATATACAGGGTGTTGTATTTAAAAAACCAAAGTGACTAACGATATAAGAAAAATGGTAAATCTGGCAACATAACAAACATTAAATTTCAAATCTTCATATTGCAAAATTGGTGTATTCCTGTTTTTGTATGTCCACTCTGTATATGTACTGAATGTAGATCTAGATGAACTATCGTTTTTTTTTATTGTATAATAGCATTGGCTTTGCCAAAATACGTGTGGTAAGTTAGTTTACCTTTATTTGTAGGTATACAATAAATTGACTGATATATTACATTCCAAATATTAATTAACATTAACAAAATTTTTAAGTTATTTTAATTTTTTTTTTCAATTTTTATGCGATTTTAATCTGTTTTTGATATATTTTTTTATATAATTCTTTTTTTATGCAATATTTTATGTAATTTATAAATCTATATAAATCTAGTGATATTAAAGTCGCGTTTTTATATTAAGAACTTTAAACGCATTCTAAAAAAAATACCTGATAATCGACAACGTAATTGGCACTGATTAATTCCTGCACCAAATTCTCTTTAATATTCAGCTGTTCTTCTATTTCGGTCAGTTCTGATTGTTTATTTCCGTCTTCTGCAAAATCTTTCATATTATGTTCAAGATTGCTAAAAAGAAAAAAATTGGTTATTACCATTGAGAATTACTACCGAATATACCTAATATAAAGTTCACCGGGGAGAGTGGGAAGTTGTGCTACGTGGAAACAACACTTCATACTTTTGCAAAAAGCCCAATATCTAAAAAGATTTTAATATCAACCGTTGAAGCTGTGTAATTCTTGAAGAATCAAGAAATGACTGTATACAGAGCATCATTTTTAGAAGGGCAGAATGTATCACATTCCCAAGCAACCTTATTGAAACATGTTAAAGGTCCAAGAGGTATTAAGAGTTCAATCATCAACCTCCAAGAAAGAAGTGTTGTTACTTCAAGATGAAGATTATTTCGTGCAATTTAAAAGAACAGTTAACCTCAGTCAGTAAAAGCCATATATAGTGGAAGTAGCAAGAAAAATGAGTGTACACCCATTCATTATCAGTGGTTACTTTATTCTGCTAAAAAAGCCATAGAAGATATTTCTCCGTCAGATATCTACAATATAGATGAAACTAGTTTTTGTTTAGATCCGAACAGAATAAAAGTTGTTGGCCAAAAAGTCTGGGAAAGAAAAAATCACTGTGTTGCAAGTGCAGTGGGCAAAAAGTACCACCGCATATTGTATTTAGAGGAAAGAATGTCTGGGACTCATGGCTCGTAAAAGGGGATAAGGAATGGCTGGTATCTACACACTCGATATCAGCACACCAAGTCACTTGGGGCTCGATAACCCGGAAACAGCCCCACCAGAGCTCAATCCTTTTGATACCCTAGGTATCTGGGATGAGTGAATTTTCCCTTTAGATTAAGTGTGAGCCGTATGACTAAATCTGGATAATAATAAAAAAAATAATAAAAAAATACTTACGCAATTTCGGTATCTGTCTGTTTTTGATCACTATTTATTTGTGCAAGCTGTTCCTTTATTTGATCCAAAGTTGCCAAATTTTCTTTTATTACATCGTGGTTATTTGTTTCAAGGCCTCTACTATAGCTCTTTAAAGTAGCATCACATATTTCTTTTAATCGCACAAGTTTTTTAGTCAAAACATTGGTCGCATTTTGCAAATTTATTATTTTTCCATTCGAATCAGTGTTGTTAAAAAGAGCGGTAGTAAGCTGCAAACTTAGATCTCTTTGTTTAGTTTCGAAGTCTATCTTTCCCTTTTTGATCGAATCTAATTCTTGTGTCCAAACAATTGGGTCACCTAAAAAATAATTTATGATTTTAATTTTGTATTTCCATTATATAAGGTGTAACTAGTGAGAGAGTGGAATTATAGGGAGGGGTTAAATATAAGTCCCCACAAATTCACTACAGTCGCTTTTGCACACAGACGGAAATTGGTGGGACTAGGAAGTCTAAAGCTACAGGACAAGACATTTAGCTAAAGGAAGAGGTAAAGTATCTCGAGTTATATTAGACTCGAAACTTAACTGGAACAAGCAATATTAGAAAGAATAACAAGCAACGACGTGTACGCAAACCCTCAATTACATATGTAGCGACGATGTGGTGGACTAAGATACTTCAAACAGCTGCATAAGCGAAACTCGGTAAGGTGCAAAGACTTGCATGTATGGGGATAACTGTCGTGCGACTCTAACATCACGCTATGGAGGCTCTACTGGGCATGTGATAATACAAGGAGAAGCAAGAATAGGGGCATACAGACTAAAATAATCCCAGAAACTTCGCAATGAAGGTATAGGGCATATGACTAGCACTAGAACTGTGATGAACGCCATCTTTAATGTGGAATCGTATCGCATGACAAAAGGTACAACTCTAAGAATTCATACAGAGAGTCTATTGCAGACAGGAATGTATGAAAAAAAAAAAAGAAGTGGCACATCTAACTGGGTAAGACCTAGTACACATATGGATCCAAAATTGAGAGAGTATGAGAGATTGAGAATGTAGAGGTACGAAAATACTCCAAACATTCAAGAATTAGCGAAAGCTTTGTCTTGAGAAGGAATAACACTGTTTTCCAAGCAGAGATTTATGTATACTGCAACGTGTAAAGTGAAGTAATAAGAGAGCACTAGAAAAAGAGCAGATCCACTGGTGTGTCAGGAAGTGACGTGCAGACTAGTGTGGGACTGCATCAGAGAACTGAATGATCTGGAAGGTTGAGGTTGTCTGGGTACCAGCGCATCGAAGGCAAAGAAAAAGCAAATCAACTTGCTAAAACAGGATCGAACAAATCAAAAGGACCAGCTGTGATATTGGGAGCACCAAAGGCTGTAGTATGTAGGGCTGTAGAGGACTAGATTCGAGAAATTCATGAGCAATATTGAGAGAGGACCCAAAAATAGACGAAACATTGCATAGACAATCACACAAACTAAAAACACTTATATGGAATGAAGAGGAAATACCAACAAAATGGCGCGAAAGTGTATTAACTCCCTCTATAAAAAGGGAGACAAAACCAAGTGCTCTAATTACAGCAGTCATATGCCTACTTAATAAGGCGTACACAATCTTATTGAACATCCAATTAAGTAGGCTAACACCTTTTGTAGAAAATTTCATAGGGGAATACTAAGCGAGATTCAGAAAAAATAGATCTATCATAGATTAGATTTTTACTCTTAAGACAGCTGCTTAAGAAAATGGGGATTCAATAGAACTATCCGTAATCTCCTCATAGATTTCCTAAAAGCATACAACAGCACTAAAAGAGATCAGATATGGAATGCAATGACAGAACTTTCAGTTTCAAAAAAGCTTAGCATAAGAGTACCGATAGGTAACACATTCTCAGAATCATTTGAAATAAACAGTGGCTTGATTGAAGAACAGTACAAATTATAACAGAACTACTGGCAGTAAATGGGCCAAGATTACTATAGCATAGAAAGGATGACATTGACATTGTAGGAAACACAGTCACCAATGCAAAGGAAACTTTGAATGAATTAGAGATAGAGGCAAAAAACGATGTAAGGGTCAATGACGAGAAAACCAAATATATGTGCATTAATATACAAAAGGGACAAGATGGAATAGGACAAAATGTAATAATAGACTCATATAATTTTCAAAGAGTGGAGAGATATTAAATCAATCAACATTAATGTTCTAATGTATATAGAATAATATAAACTAATCAGCACATATTTTTAGGGGATGAAGCTGTTAGGTACACCAGTTCAACAGTTATTTTTATCATTAATATTTTTTTTCTGGAAAAAATGCAAATATCAGTAGCTGACTATATGGGTATATCGAGGGCAACAAATTTAAGAATTGACAATATATCAAACAAACGATGAAATTGTCCAGGTTGAAGGAGAATTTTATGCCATTCTATGATTTCTAAGATGCATAGCTGCTTTTATTTGTACTTTAATATGAATTGATGCTTATGGAAGTGTAAATGCAGAAATATATCATTCAAGAAATAATTTTTGCATTCAATGTTCAAAAAATCAGTGACTAGTTTAAAAATTAGAAATATTGTTGCAAAGTGGCTGGGTTGTGTACATGTTCAAACAACATTTAATGATAGTGGTATACAGAGATTTGAAGCTGGAGACTTTGTTAGGTTTGTACTATTTTGTATAGTTGGTTTGTGTGGTTACAGTTTGAAATTATATTTGATTGGTAGACAAGATGCTAGAAAAGAAGCAGAAAATCCTTACAATGAATCTCCCATACTAACTAGGAATGCTATGGAAAGGCAATACAGGGTATGGAATGGAATTAATAATTCCCAATTTTTAAAAATCAAATGATATTAAATTTGAAAGTGACTATGAATGTAATAGTAGCCACAGCATTATTTCATAAAATCTCCATAGAAAATTAAATCTTGTTTCCTGTATATAATAATCTAGATCAACAAGAAAACCATTTAACTAAAGCCATAAAAAGAAAAAAAAAAAGAAGACAGTTTCCTTCAATTTCACCATGAAATTGAGGGAAATTGTAGGGAAAAGTTGCTTAGATTTAGTCAATTTATCCACTTCCGGACTTATTTTAAATGTATGTTTTTTGACCCCAAGAAGCAAGTAAAAACAACCCTGGGCTTGTTTAGTCCAAATGGTACTTTATCTGTATCACCTACACACTTATCTGTCCCTGAATTAACCATATGTACAAAAATAAATTATTTAAAAGTTCTTTGAGTTAGTGACACTATTTCCACCTTTGGTAATTACTTTCAAACTACTAAGTTCACAGTCTCATAAAAAATCTACCATATTTTGTTCTCCCTTAAAAGCTCTTTCAAATTATTTGGCTATAGACTTATGTGAGGAATTTAAAAAATCAAATAATTTGTCCAGCAGGAATTGCTCCAAAACGTGTATATACATTCAAACCAGCCACTACTGTTTGGGTGAAGATTTGGCTAACAAATTGACAAAAAAATATCAAACAACTTTAATTTTCTCAAAATTATCTGAATAAATATGAGAGTCTGTTTTGGAGCAGCTCTTAGTGAGGATAACATTTATCTAAAATATAAGTTTCAATATAATTCCAGGAAATTTCATGTGAAATGTTTTTTTTTTAAATTATTTCTAACTGTTTCACGAAGATTTTTAGCAATATGTAAGGTTAAGCAATATGTAAGGTTAGTCAATTGAATATTATTGGTCTCCATGTCACTGATTAAGACACATACATGTAAATCCATTTCCATTAATTTTGTTACAATATAAGTTAAGGTTGATTTTAAAATTGGGTCATGTTGTGACACACTGTAAAATAACAAAAGTTAAGTACTTACTTAATACATATACTGAACTCTTAGCATAATTGTGCTCATTTTGGCTCTCATCTATGCTTGGACCTTCTAACGAGGGAAATATTCTTGGAATTGCATGATGATGTAAACGGTTTTTCAAATAATTTCTAAAAGATTTGTTCTCAAAATGATAGCTACATAATTTGTAGCTGTCTAATTTACCAATTTTATGTTTTAGATCTTCTCGTCCACTTTGTATTAACCATACTAGAGCTCTGCAAGTACAAAAATAAAATTAAAATATGAAAAAAAATCTATGACATAATATTTACTCCAGTCATCAGAGAGAGAGATGGCACTGAATCTCTAAAAATCATATGAACAAGCTGAATATCAAAATTTTCATGTTGCGGGTTAAAAAACTAGGCTAACACTGGAAACTTTACCACAACCGGTCAATGGAATTGATAAATTTTATTGACCTCGTGAGAATCATAAAAATTGCGTAACACTTATTTATTGAACAGATTTATAGAAACTGACTTTATTTGCATCAAAATACAAATATTGCATACAAAAGCTGCATTCTTCAAATTTAAAATGCATTTTGATTTTTGTCGATAGGACACTCTGATCAGAAGATATCGGATTTTTACCGTCGAGTTGATACAAATTTGATTTAAAATTGATTTCGCGCGCGTAACTGATTTTCAACATCGCTCCACGGGAAGGGTTCATTCTACGAAAAAAGTGCTAATAAAAATTTTTGTTTAAAATTATCTGAGCTACATTTTTTATTTGAAACATTTATTTTTACGGCGTACAGATTCTTGGTAAATTGATTTTCACCCTGTGATGTGGTGTTTTAGGGGGAAGGCGAGGGGTAGGAGGGTAAACTTTTTGGAATGTCAAAATTGAAATTATCCGCAAAATTCAGCTTATTCCTATGACTTTTAGAGGTTAACTGGACTAATTTAGTAAACTACAATCTAAATACTTAAATATCCATTATTTGATACTTCTTTAACTTAAACTAGCATCTGTATTATATCCTATATTCATTACCTTGCCTTATCTTTGGGAAAACTAAAAAAAGACGCATCGCAATTATACGCTTTGTTGTTGCAATTTTTTGCTGCACATATCGTGTGCGACATGCCCATCTTATCTAGGATCCGGTAATATATATTCTTTATCTATGTCTATAGACGCTAATGCAAGTTGATTAAAACAGATGAAATACTACTACTTATTAACTAATCTACAAGAAGAACAGTCCTGAACTGCAATAAATTCACACATATATTAATAATTTATATGAAAAGAAATTATCTACTTGTTCTGTAATTACACTTTTAAAAGTTTAACCATTAACTTTAAAGGCACACCAGATAAACTTTCAGCAACAACACTCCGTTTTCAAGATGGACGATTTCGTCTGCGCGAGCAAGATGCGCAAAGTAGGGAATGCAGTTAGAACATTTTTGAACTATAGGTAGGCAAACAACAATACATACCTTTAACAAATCGAGGACGACAAACTGAAAAAGTAAGAAGACCCTATGTTTTAAATCAATATTTGGTACCTAAAAAGAGATGTTATATATGTGTAAACTGATTTATTTCTGGATTCATAAAATATAGAAAACCAACACAAGAAAAAAATGTTCCATCGTTTTCGTGGTCTTCCTATTGGGGAACCGTCTCCTGCCGTCTTTACTACTCTATTTATTGTCATTCTACTTATATGATCGTTCCATTCTACTCTATTATTTCTTACCCAGTTCTTGATGTTCTCCACCTACGTTGTGTATCTGTACTTCTAGCTCTGTCCCATAGTGTCTTACCAAATGTTTTCATCTCGGCTGTTTCTAACATCCTTTTTGTCCTTTCTGTGTCAGGTCTTGTTTCTGCCGCGTACGTCATTACTGATGTGATGACTTTTGTAAATTCTGCCTTTCGTTTCTTACCCGATATTTTTATTTCTTCATATTGTTTCATTCAGGCAGTCTGTGTCTATGTTTGCTCTATTAACTTCGTTTCGAGCTTTCCATAGCTAGATAATGTGATGCCTAGATATTTAAACTCCATCATTTGTTCTATTATCTGACCTTCCAGCTCCAATTTACATCTTAATAAATTCGCTGTTGTAACAATGCATTTTGTCTTTCTTTGGGAAATTAACATGTTAAATTTTCTGGCGGTTATATTAAATTGGTGTAGCATACGTTGTAAATAATCTTTTAAGTTGTTTTTCTCCCATTTGGTATCCTTTTTTTTTATCATTTCATCCATAATCAGCTTGAACAATAGAGGACTCAGGTATTCTTCCTGTCTTATCCGACTGACAGCTTCAATAGGGTCGGTTAGTTCTTCATCTACTTTTATTGTGTTGTTTTGGTACATATTTTCGATCATTTTGATTATTCCTCGAGGTATCTCTCTTGTTTACAATAAGTGGATAACATCTTTTAAATTTGATGTGGTCAAATACCTTCGTAACGAAACATGATTTCACTTGTCTCATTATAAATATAGCGTCGCGTCGGTGCATGATCTTCCCGACCTAAAAGCTTGTTGTTCTTCTGCTAGTGTTATAATTTCAGTCTGTTTATTTGTTTTAGTTATTTGGTTGTAAATTTTAGTCTTGTGTTTAATAAACGAATTCCTCTGTAATTTTTCCAGTCCGATTTGTTTCCCTTTTTGAATAGAGGTATTAGGAATAGTTCCTTTCTACAGTATATAATCAATAGACTACAAAGAGCCCTAATAACACCAGTTATAATTATTCGGAGGAGAAACGTAGTCACTCACAGAATGACCAAAAGCTGTTTAAGTGATTGTGAACTTATGATTCTAAGAATAATATATGAAGGACTAAAAGAGCAGGATTTGTGGCATATATGCTATAACTTAAGGTACATAGGAGTTTCGGGAAGCTGACATAATGAAATTCATTGAGGTAGCATACCTCAGATTTGTTGGGCATGTAATGAGAAGGGAGGAAGATGTAACAATGAGAAAAGTATTTGACTGAAAAGGACTAGTGATGACACACTAGTCATCACTGGTTGACAGTGGAACTTAAGTGCTTAGATAACTTGAAAGACAATTTAAAATCCAGAGGTTAGAGGACAGAGAAGAGTTGTTCAGGATAGGATGAAATGGGGAAAGGCTTTGGCTCATACAAGGCTGTAATGCAAATGATGATAATGCATTCTTATAATTGCTACTTTGTCTTAACAGTGGTAACTGGGACTTTAGAGAATGCAAATCAAGGTCTTATAGCTAACAGTTCAGTTCTGCACCTATCTTTATCAAATTTGTATATTAACCCATAAGCCCACATCAAGGCCCAGCTTGGAATAACTTATGTAGATTTATATCTATACCACATTAAACCTTATTAAATAAACTTACAAAAAGTCTTTCTATACGCAAATTTTCTAATTTAATAAACTTTATTCACAATTATAATATATTACAGTATGTATATGAATTTACTTAGTTGATACTCTAGTGCGTCTATTCCAGGCAAAGTTGATTCCATAGCTTTTTGGTTTGAATTTTTTGTCTAGGCTACTTTCTTGGATAAACCATTTCCAACCATTCTTTTCACAGTGTTCAACTGCTTCTTCTTTGGTTGAAAAGTCAACTTTCATATTGGACAATGGATCTCCACTAAAACAATATTATTTATGAAACAGTATTACACATAAAGATTGTATTATTTAATATAAATAGAATGAACCAAAGAGATATTAGAAGATCAAAGTTTCAGCAGGAATTCAATGCACAAAGATTATCTTAAAATATCTGCAAACCTATCTTAAAGGTTTTAAGCCAAGTAAGCCAAACTGATTGAAGAATAAATAATTAATTTGGTAATTCTTTACCACAATACTTTCTAAAGGCTTTAAATTATTTAACAACTGAGAATCTCTGATCAGACTCAAAATTGCAATATTTATTTCCGTTAATTATGTAATATTAAACCTGAACGAGGTTGTAACGTCATTTATATCAATAGCAGTACTTACGTTGAACACCAGCCCATCAAGGGATTCTCCCATCTTTCCCTTGTATCAAAATCAATTTGCCAATTACCAATATTGCTTGTACCACTTTGCATACAATTTTTTGCAGGTTCATAAATTCTTACTGTACGCCCTTTGACATGTTCTTCAGGAACACCAGTAATAGGTGAAATATCTGTCTGTGAAGAAATAAAAAACAGTTAAGCACAATATTCTATGTTTCTATATTTCATGTATGAAAAATTTCTACTCACAGTTCCTTCTACCGTAATAGTGCCTTGTAACTTTCTCTTATGTTCAACTTCCTCTGGGTTTAAAAGAGCTACATCATTTTTTATCTGGGGTTCTGCTTGTCTTACTACAGAAGTACTTAGAGATACTACTCCCCTACAAAACATTGTTAATTATTTAATTTCTATTTATACATTACATTATTTTTTCTTACCAATTTCCATTAATAGCCGCACATCGCGATATATTTTTAAGCCTCAATAACGTAGACGACATTTTCAACCCTTTTGGTTATTGATTATTTAACACTTTTTAAGACTGACATATGTCAATGTCAATTTCAGCTGTATTTATAAGATAAGCCTATTCTTCTCTTTTTATATTTTATGTATCTACACCTACTTGAGACAGATTTCTGGTTACTACACAGAATTAAAAGGATGTCTAAGAGTTAAACCACGAATTAACCTAAAAAGAAGAAGTCAGAAGTCACTAACCTATCCTTATAACCAAAACCAACATAATGGAAAAAATATAAATTAATATTTTTAATTATTATCTATAGTGTAATATAAATACTGCCATGGCAGGACAATTAGCAAATGTAGCAAAAACCTTTCAAAAATTAACAATAGCCTCAAGATGTAGAATTGCCGCTACTATTATAAATCCTGTAAAGGACCATGAACCCCAAATTTTGTCTCAAACTTCTACAAGGAATACTAACTTCTTTAATAAATGTAAGTAAGAATTGGATATAAAACATTTAAAGCGGTTGTATATCGTATTAATTATAACATTTCTTCTAGTACCTGCACAAGATTTGTGGAAAGGTATAACTTCTGTCAGTAATGCTGGTAAAAAGAGAGGTAGAGCTAAAAATGTATCGAAATCTAAAATTAAAGACCTAAACCGTGGTCAGATAATTGGTGTAGGTAAAGCAAATATTGTCTGGCCAGGTCTCTCTGCCCCTATAATTAGAGGAAAAGAATTAGTAGAACAACACCAACTACCAGAAGATCCAGATAGAGAGAAGAAGCTAATTCAAATTAGAGATCAGATGGGCACAATAAAGAGGCCAAAATTAAGTCCAATTGAGAGAGGATGGTCAGGCTCTAAGTTACCTGGAAGAAGTATTGGACGACCAGATCCAGTTGAAGAAGGTTTGTACATGATGAGTGATAAAATTTAAATGTATATAAATTATTTATAATTGTAGCAATTGCAAAAATTTAAACAGAAGTGTATTCTTAGCATCATTTTAAAATTTGTTCAAAATGTTATATCTTCCTCTTGTTAAAGTTTTTTGAGTTCTAAAGCATAAACTTATATTTACTAATTTTTGTTTTTTAGATAACTTTGAAGGCTTTGATACAAAAGTGTTAGAATTAAAAACTGTTTTTAACATGAAGGGCAATTTTGGTAGAACAAGAAGACAATCAGCTTTGGTGGTAACTGGTAATGGTAATGGGCTTGCTGGTTTCGCTCTAGCAAAAGGTATTGAGGCTAGAGCAGCTTTAAGAAAGGCTAAGAATAGATCCGCTCAAAAATTAATGCATATTAAATTGTTCAGAAACCACACAGGTAGGAATTTGTATATCCATATGTACTATAAATTTTTTATATGTTAAATATAGCCTCTTACATAAATATGACATTATCCTTTTCATGCAAGAATTAGTAACTACTTTTTTGATGGTTTTTAATCATTGAAAAAAATAATTTGAATCTCAACATTTACTTCTATTCATTTTTGTCAAATATTTGAATAAAAGTTTCAGTTTTTATAAAACATAAAAGTTTTTTTATTTAATACATAATCCCATTTATTACATTTTAGTGTGCCACGATTTCTTCACACAGTTTGGCACAACAAAAATTTATGTTTCACAGAAACCTGAAGGACATGGTTTAGTTTGTCATAGAGCAATTAAAACAATATGCGAAGTTGTGGGTATTAAGGATTTGCATGCCAAAGTAGAAGGATCGACAAATGTAGGAAAAATATTGAAGGCTTTCTTCTTAGGGCTTATTAGACAGGTAATGGAAATATTACTATTCGTTTTACACTATTTAAATGGATAAATTTCTTAGCTGAATGATAATGTTCTTTATATAGTTTTTTTGTCTATTTTCTTACTCTTTTATAATTACAATTAGAAAAGAATCCTCTCCAGGATGGTCATATTTGACAGTTGTCAGGGCCATAATTACTTATTCTGTATTACAGGTCCAACTCTTCAACTCTTTTGTTTTTTTAATGATAAAGTTCTTTGTCCTTGTCTAATTTCATATAGATTTAAATCTGATAAATATCTGTTCTGGATCGTCAATATCGTATTCTTGATCTATTTTGATATTGTTCCTTTTACACCTTTAGCTTTTCTTTTAATTTTTTTATGGTCTACATTTGTCTTCTGTGTTTCTTGTGATCAATAGAATAAAAGTAAAATTGCTTTAAACAAATTGTTGTTACAGAAATCTCCTGAAGATATGGCGGAAGAGAAGAAGCTACACCTAGTAGAGTTCTGCAAAGAAAATAATTACTTTCCAAATGTCATAGCTTCACCTAAAGAATGCCGAAAGGCCAACGAAATTCCCAAAGATGAAATTCTAGATTTTAAGCAGTACTGTTTTGATGGCAGAGTTGTGTTGAAGAGAAAGAAGTATCCACCGTTTTATACAAAATTCCGATCCTACGAAATATATTTGAAAAAACAAGAAAAGATAAGAAATCAGGATAAAGTTCGACAACATTTGATAGCAGAATATGGTGAAATACAAAGTTTCCTAACAGAGAAGTATCCAGAGTGTAAGCAATATAGGAAACCTCCAAAGGAGAAAGAAGCTGAGGAAGAGTCATAATATTCTTAATTAGCTATTAATAAAATATCTTTTTTGTATTTATACCTTTATTTATTTTTTCAATTCCTACCTCCTTTACTTCCTCACATAAAATTGGTAAGGTCTGAGTAAATGACTCAAATTAAAGACAGTGATAGTCCCAGTCTGAATTTTTTGGTACATCCGTAGATAAATAATATAGTATATAGGGTACATCTTTCAATTTAATGATGAGAAATGGCTATATAAAGGTCGATTCAGACACATCAGTCCCGACGCCGAACCGGTCCTGTTTGGTCACAGAACTATCAACTATCTGACAGCTGGCAAACTGTTCGTCGCCTGATGAATGTGAATGCCGGCGCCATATTTCTATTAAAGAATATTTTGTATGACGGATTGTTCGGTTCGGCTCCAGGGCTCTGACGAGACGTGTCTGAATTGACCTTTAAGGCCAAATCGACCAAATTCTTGCCCCCTTATTTTTAACTCCCTTAAAAACATCGTCTTCTATCCGACTTCAATTCTCTCTGAATACGATATAAGATTATTAAGTGGTCTGTGCTGTGATACTAAATTTAAAAATTTAAACAAACTTGTCCTTTCCAGGAACTAAAAATTCAATTCAAAGTCCCACCCTAGACTTAAATGTGGATGTACAGCTTTTGTGAAAACCCTCCGGTCCTTGGCTGAATTCATAAAGCCAGTGGTATTTACATCAATTGTCAAATAGCCATTTTCGTTGTTTGTTGTGTACATGGTACTCTTGATAAAAGACCAAATTTACACTATAAAATTCTAACAAAATTTGAATCAGAAGGAGGGAAACATCTAGAAATTTATATGGAGGAAAATAAAGAAGATTCTATATTAGACATATCCCATACGGAACTAATGGAAATTATAAGTATTAATGAAATATGTAGACTATGTGCCAATCAACAGGAAAAACTAATTGGAATATATACTGCCGATGGCGAAAATAATGACCTAGCTTCTAAAATGAATTCATATCTTCCAATAAAAGTGGAAAAAACTGATGATTTACCTCTTCAATGCTGTTGGCAATGTGCCTCTACTGTTTTAGCTTGGCATGAATTATTTTTAACAAGTATAGAAGCAGATAGAAGACTAAGAAGTTATCAATTTGTCACAGAGAAACAAATAGAAATTGGAACTAATACTGACATAAGTTTGGAAGAAGTAACGTAAGTCTCTTTATATTTGCTAGCAAAGAAGAGGGCTATTAATTTTGAGAAATTCTATTTAATACAGCTATTATTAGTAGATAGATATTAATAATGCAATAGTTGAGTGGTTTTATATCACAGATCCTTGAGTGATATTCATTCACATCTTTATCACTTTGGGTAAATTAAACATTTCTTATTTTATTTTGTGCATAAAAAATCATTTTTAAGTGAGACATTTTTCATTTCAACTACTTTAATGCTTTAAAATGACAGAAAATATTTATTTCTAATTAGTATTAAATTTATTTGTTTGAAAATGTTGGTGTGCCATTTTGTTATACATTTTAATTTGTTTAATTTAATATATTGTATTAGTGCATCTAACATATGTTTTAGTACTATTATAATGTAAATGATGTTCAATAAAAGTGTTGATTTATTTTATAATCCCTAGTTAATCACTCATTTTCCTAATTTGCTTAATTTTCACTTTCTTGAGATATGAGTCTTCTTCCAAAATAGCTGTATTTCTTTTTTGTTAAGATTTCTATTATTTTTTTTACAGGAACATTAAAGAAGATGCAAAGATGCCGATATTAAATAAATATGAAGAAAATGATCCAGTATTTATTGATAAATCAGAAATGAGTGATTATTCAGATAATATTGGTGAATATATAGGCCTGCAGCAAGAATATTTGCCACTTGAAGAAATATGTGAACCTACAGACAAAGAAGTAAGTGAGGACAAACAGATAAATGACATAAGTGATGAAGATGATCCTTTATCAAGCAAGGAAGCAGAAGATAATATTTGTTATGGCTGTCAAACTTGTCAACTCATATTTTTATCTGAGCCTGAAATGCAAAAACACATAGCTCAAATTCATCCAATAGAAAAATGTGATAATGGTAAAATTGAATCAAAAAAATCAAGAAAGAAGAATGCCAAACTAGATCAAGAAATGGTAAATGCTGCAAAAATAGTTGTGGATGGCAAGGTGTACTACAATTGCAAAGAATGTGGTAGATGCCTTTATTCTCCATATACCTATATCTGGCATGTTAGAATCCATACCGGAGAGCGGCCCCATTCTTGTCATCTATGTGGTAAATGCTTTCGAGTATCCCAGGGTCTAGTTAGGCATCTTAAAGAAACTCATGAGGGCATTAAAAATTTTCCTTGTGATATTTGTGGAAGAATGTTTGCTACCAGGAGAAATGCTGATGAACATAGAAGAATACATACCAATGAAAGACCATATGTTTGTGACTTGTGTGGAAAATCGTTCAAACAGAAAGCTTCTCTCTTTGTACATAATCGATCACATAACGACGTATTTCCATTTAAATGTACTTACTGCAATCAGACTTTCAGAACAAGGCCACCTATGCTGGTTCACATAACCAAACATACAGGAGAGAAGCCATACCCTTGCGAAATTTGTGGTCGAAGATTTCGAATAAAATATGAATTAAAACGACATAGATTAATACATTCTGATGAGAAGCCATTTAGCTGTGAGCTGTGTGGATTGAGATTTAAACAAAAACGATATTTAAAGAATCACATTAAGTTAAACCATACTAACAGCTAAAATATTTCACTTTGTCAAATCAAATTTGTAGAATCAAATAATTTTTCAATGTAATTATAATAATAATGTTATATGCTCAATGTAATTTGTTTTATTTAGTCTATTCTTCTTTAAAAAATGTCATGTCTGATGAATTATCCAGTTTTGTTAAAGTCTCATTGTATAATTATAATTTTTGAAACATTTGTAATTTTATTATATTCCTTAAATATTCTATTGCATTTTTGTCAGTCTGTTGTAAATAAAAATACTTAACTATTGCTTAAACGTTTCGGCTGTTTGTCATTTCAATAAATTATACAATTATATTTCATGTTTACATTCTTTACCAGTTTAAGATAAGATGGATTGAAAAATTGTTATCTGACATTGACAGGAGACATATGGTAGGTATTTAAACAGGAGTGCATCGAGCAAAAAGACAAAATCTGCCATCGTGGTGCATTTTAAGCAAATTATGAGCATGTTAAGATACATTTAGGGCACATAATTAGTCTAAGTTTTAGACTATAGACTTTAGACTAAGCAATTGTAAAAGTTGTAAATTATTAGTCTATCTATATAAATCAAACCCTGCAATTAAATAAACATTATAATATAAAATCTCAAAAAAAATATTTTCAGACTGGTATTTCTGTACATACCGGAAAACATTCATTATTTCTAATTTTTACAGTTAAATAAATAAATTATCGAAAGTTGGTGATTATTTAAAAACTCTCTCATTATTCCTAATCGCTATAGACATTCGCTGGAGCGCATTATCTTACAATTGTAAGTAATATTTCTTTTTAATTTGTTTTAAGTAATTACTTATCGATAACATACACAATCGATATAAAGTAATGATAGCTCCGCTTTCAATTTAAAATAAAAAAAAAATAGTTTTGAACCAATTATTTTTAAGAGAAAGTTATATTAAATTATATTAGATAAATACAAATAATATTCAGGTCGTAAAACGAGAATGCCCGAACCTTTAAAAATCAAACGAACAAGCTGAATTTTGTCGAAAATGTCAATTTTAGGACTCCAAAAAGATGCAAAAACGTTTGCGATTCTCACCCTCGGCTTCCCCCTAAAACTTACCTAGTAAGTGGGAAAAAAATGGAAAAAATCAATCTACGAAGAATTTGTACGTTGTAGAAAAAAAAGTTTCAAACAAGAAATGTAGCTGAGATAATTTTGAACAAAAATATTTATTGGCATTTTTTTGTAGAATGAACCATTCTCTCAGCAACAACGCTTAAAGCGACCGACGATTTCGAAAGTCAGTTAAGCGCGCGAAATTAATTTTTGAAATAAAATTTGTATCAACTCGACAATAAAAATTCTATAGGTATTTTTTGATCAGAGTATCCTACCGAAAAATCAAAATGCGTTTTAAAGGTGAACAGTGCAGATTTCGTATCTAATTTTTGTATTTTGCCGCAAATACAGTCAGTTTAAAGGCCGTATGACACTATCCATTTTCTTGTATCATTTCTTATATCGTTTCTGATATAAAAAAATGGATAGTGTCATAAGGCGTATAGTTTCTTATATCAGAAACGATACAAGAATTTGTGTCCGCTGCATTTTCTTGTACAAGAAATGCGCCAATTTGTGCGCAAAAACGTAAAACTTCTGTCATATTGGCGGCTGGAGGAGAACTTTGATATACAACTAGACCAAGCAGACATCAGAGAAAAGTGCCCACCAACAATGTTAGAACATCAGTAGCCAAATTGAAAAACAATAAATCACAGGGATCGGATCAAATAGCATCGGAACTACTGAAAGTAGGAGGAGATGTTTTACTAAAAACAATACATAACCGCTCTAAAAATCCGTGATGAGTTTAAAGATTATTTTATATCTCCAAATAAGAGAATAGAATTTCAAGAGCATGCCATTCAAACACATAATTAAAAAAAAAAAACAAATAAATTATTACAACCAAATTATTTATTATTTCTGTCTTCCATTACAGCCTGTTAAATATATTCAAAAATTGTGGTTTCCAATTTAGTTTTAATATTGGGAAATTTTACTTCTTTCATTTTTGCACCACAGTATTTAAAACAATAATCAGTAGCATATGTCCTCAGTCCCCAGTAGCTTGGGGTCTTGAGGTACTGCAGTTCTATTTTTATAGGTGTCAAAATTTCGATCAACCATGTGCCAAATCACATACAATTTTCAGTAAAAGAACTTGCATAGTGTCATCAGAGCAAAAATGTACGTGCAAGAAACGATACAAGAAAACATAAATAATTTTCTATATCAGAAACGATATAAGAAATGATACAAGAAAATGCATAGTGTCATACGGCCTTTAAATACAAAAATAAAACTGTACAAAACAATAATATGCCCAGTCCTAACATATAGGTTAGAGACCTGGAATCTAATAAAAAATAATGTAAGCATGTTAGGAAGTTTGGAAAGAAAAATACTGAGACGAATCTAAAAGACTGAAATGGAAAAGAAACAACTTTTTACTCTAATCCAAAGCGGATACAGTTCACACAGATCGACAGCTGATAACATTGTTGCACTAGAATCCGAAATTCATAAAGCATTTACAAATCAACAAAAAGTAATCGCAATATTTTTCGACATCAAAAAAGCTTTCGACACAACAGGGACGCATTATAAATAATATAACAATATAATAATATAACAAATCACGTAAAGCTTCCCGTAAAAGCTAATCTTTCTATTGATGATCTAGTAATATATGTTAAAATTAAAAATATAGAATTAGCTACGCAAATTGTACAGAGAACATTAAACAGTTAGAAATGTGTTCTTTAGAGACTGGTTTAACTGTTTTAACTGAGAATACTACAGTAATAAGGTTTGACAAAAGAAGAGCAGAATTAAACTTGTATCTAAGTGGTCATTCTCTGAAACAAGTCCGCGAAATCAAATTTTTGGGGGTAATATTTGACTCACAACTCGCATGGACTTCACATATTAACAATTTGATCAAATCCTGTTAACAAAGAATAAACTTACTAAGAGTTTTATCCAATCATAGATGGGGATACTAAAAATTTTAATATTGTTCTGAAGCTAATTTCTTGTGGAATTTTAAATTAATTACTATTTAACTGGGAATAAGCCACAATTATGATAAAAATACGTTTATTGACGTTTTAATTTCCACTTCGGAAATAGTTCTCAAAATACAAACAGTAAATTAAACAAATTTTGTTTTTTGTTACATAGTGAAAAATTCTTCTAATAATTTAATTTTATCTGACTCATTTGATTTTAAAATTTTAGATACTAAAATTCTTCTAAATTTATATCAGACATTAATAAGAATCAAACTCGACTACATATGCATCTGTTATGAAACAGCAAATAAAAATCAACCAAAAAACTGGATGTTATTCAAACCACATCTCTACGACTAATCTTTGGAGCCTTTAGAACTATTCCAATAAGAAGCCTTCAAGTGCTAGCAGGAGAAATGCCCGCTATACCTCTGAAGACAATATATATCACTATGCTACGCTTCAAAAATTCTAAGCGCAAAAGATCATACCTTTCTCGCAACTTTAGTATCGGAAGAATCACTAGAACAATACACAAATTACATCACCAAGACAGTACCATTTTACGAACGAGTTAAAAGGTTACCATATTATATCAATCAAATCACCTTGGCACCCATAAAAATATACCAGACAACCTCCCTGGACAGTTACTTTACCAATAGTATACCCCTCCTTACTTAATCATGATAAACATTCGCATATTTCTGCTGAGGTCAGGCTTTAGTATCATGATTTTACTCAAATATTCCACATACAAATTGTTCTTTACTGACGCCTCCAAAGATTGCAACGGAGTAGCAGCTGCTACTGTATCAGAAAACGTAGTTTCTGTCACTAGATTAACTGACGGTTGTAATATTTATGCCGCAGAGCTCCAAGTAATACTTGACGCACTAAATCATTGTAAAACCACAAATGAAAAACAAATACTATCTAATATTATCAGATTCATTAAGTTCTTTAAAGGTCATTAAACATGTTTATCCTACACACAATAATAATCGATTCCTAATTAAAGACGCGTTGCTACAGCTCAAATTTTCTGGGAAAACCATAAAATTTATGTGGGTCCAATCACATGTCGGAATAACTGGTAATTAGCTAGCAGATAAAACAGCGTCTGAAGCAATAAACAATGTGAACATTCCGATTACAACAGGTATACCAATATCAGATACTAAAACTTTATTCAAAGCTCATGTAAATAAAATCTGGTAAGAAATATCGGACCAAACAAACACAAATCTTAAAAGCATATATCCAGACGTATCTTCAAAAAATCTTCCTCTACCACCAAAACGAAAAAACCAGATAATTATCAGGACGATCATGACTTACGCACAGCTACATAATCTCCAAAGAACCACTACCAGTGTGCCAAAGATGCCAAACACCCTTCTCAGTCGACCACGTAATAATAAAATGTCCAGAATACACCTTAGCCAAGGCGATATTCAAGATATCCAACAGCCTGGTTACTGGCTGCAAACTTCAACTGGTTACAAAATTCAATGAAGTTCAAACCTACCGTTAATAACCCCAGTGGTTGATGCAGATAAATGAAATAAAATAAAAAAAAAACAATAATATTTAAAATTCCGTTTGAATGTTTGCTCCCCCCATTTTATACAAAAGTAAGTAATTAAAAAGATTATGGAGAACTCCAGTGCAGTTTACCGTGCCTTTTACTACAACGTAAGATTTTCTGCGGATTCCATTAATCGTTTGGAGGTGTAAGTTGGTTGGATGTAAGTAATAACATTTTTATTTAAAATTATCTCAGCTACATTTTTTATTTGAAACATTTTTAATATAGCGGACAAATTCTTGGTAAATCGCTTTTTTCCATTTTCTCCCCCTGTACTAGCTAGGTTTTAAGGTTAAGCGAGGATATAAAAGTGGTAAACTGTTCTAAATATTTTTTGAGCTCCCCAAATTGACATTTTCAGTAAAATTTAGCTTGTTCGGATAATTTTTAGAGGTTCAGTGGCACTTTCGTATCTGACGACTGAAGTATTTTTCTGTTTA